GGCCTTGTATAAAAAGTATTACATAAAATTTTACCGGTAATACGAATGATTGTCAGTAATTTTATACACATTATGTCTTTTATGTGGTATATCTGGGTTGAACAAAGACTTATCGCTGAAAATTGTGGTTCGTTATTCAGCATTTTGAGGCGAACGGTGGAGGGGAAAGGGAAATTATTGATGTAAACATCATGGAATTCAGACAAGTCAATTGCCAAAGAGAGGATGTACTGCGGGCCACAGCACCTATTACATGGTGTTTTATTCGGTAGTTTTGAGAGACATTGGAGCACTACTTTCTTAATTTGATATATGATGATATCACATTATAATATAATTAAAGTCCAAATTATAAAATACATTTTCAGAATTTGAACATGCTAAAAATGTTAAAGACATCGTATTAAGTGTTGCCATCCACTTGCACTGTGTATGACCAGGGGGACAATTTCACACATAAATTTGGAAATTTACTACAATTGTTTTTATTCAAATAATTTATTGATTAATTTGATACAGCAATAAACAATATTGATAAAAATTTAGTTACATTGGCTGGTGAATAAATTAAATGACAAAAAATGCCAAGTTATCAAAGTTACGAAACATTACAAGACCTAAGTTTATGACATTAAAATATTAAATGACTAACTTTATTAACCTTTAATAAAGGTCTGTACTATATGATAAGATTAAAATATAAAGTATATACAATAACTAAATTAATTAAAAAACAAGTAATCATATTCAAATATACCTTCAGAAAGACAAATTGACACAAACAGGTTGCACTGAGCCAATCAGGAAAGATCTCTTAAAAGCTAATATTTGCATAACAAGCTGCCAGCACTGAATGAAATATTGTCATTCAACCTTATGTGGCTTCGAATACCAAGGACATTATGTTTAGAAACTCATGATTCAACAAGACAAACAAGATGATAATGTTTATAATGGTGGAGTGATGGGACCTGAAGAATCCAGTCAAAACAACCATGTCTTTTGTGTGCCCTGAGCTGGTAGTGCCTAGTTTTTACAATGTTGTTGTGTTTCATTCAGCAGCAAGGTTATTGAACGAGGTGAATCTCTTAGAAAATCCCAAATGATTGGGACCTTGGCGAATTTCTGATTTAGGAGAGGGAGAGGTCAATAACACTCATAATCAAAAGTTAAAGCATTCTAAATTTCAGCACAGATCTTAAAATCAAGAATAATTTTAAGACATAAGTTTTTTGTGTGTGTTGTAGAGTTGAATGCAGCTATGATACGTACGGGTAGCTAAACAATGACAATTTTTTAGTTGAGAGGCTGCCACAGGACAGCCAGTTGAACGTTAATAATTTCAGAGAGCAGAGGGCATGTTGCTAGACATACAGGTGATACGCATGAGGAATCCACAAACTGAACTGTCGATGCTGGAAATCTGTTGACAAGAATGCATGATGTCCAATAGTTCAAGGCAGAGAAGAAAGAAAATATCTATGTCTCAATAACACATACAAATGTACACATATAACGTTCCTGTTATCCTATACAGCAGCAGCAATGGATTCCCAAGGCTCAATTCCAGCACAACAAACAAAGTGCCCCCAGAAGCAAAAGATTACATGAATTTTATTTGCTATTTGACAGCTAGCTCATCAGGTTGAGTAACAAGTTGTTTCTACAGAAATTAAATCATCTTTTTGCTTCAGCAATAGCAATGCACATAAAAGCCACCTCAAAGGAAATGGTTCACTGATCATAGTGCTGACAAAAAGCTTGACAGCCGATCATCTACTATGTACATGTAAAAATTGTAATTAAAACGAAGCGTACTGGTGGGAGACCAAGATATTCATGGAAACACTCCTGGATATTTTCATCAGCAATGATCCATCTGTCAATACCCTGCTCAGGATATTAGAATTCTTACGAAAACATGCACATGAATAAAATTACCGATAAATTGTGACCCTCTGACGAGAAAACAATTTATATACTAGTAACCAATGAGGTTATCATTAAACTGTTAATGATATAACCTCGCTATAATAATATACCATTATGATGTGTATATTAAAAACAAACAAGACCATAACCATTTTACTATCATCAGCATATTTAAATCCATGATCACATACCACAGAAAATATCAGGCCGCCAAATTCTAGATTGACTTCTAAATTAATTATCAAATATATGATTTATGTCCATTTCCTGAACTTCCGAAATACACATGGTTTTTGAGAGGGACCCATCAACACTTTGCTTACATGTCTAAATAGAAGCTGACAACATTACATATACAGTAGGGCTTTATTTTAAGACACAAGACATACCACTCCCCTAGGCTTGTAAACAAATAATAAACAGTTTTAACATGGATCAGTCACTTACAGAAACATGATATTTGCACTTTACCAGGGTGCTAGTTAAGATCAGTGATACATTCCTGAAATATTAGTTCAGACTTTATGAAGTGTTTGCACCCTAAAAATAAAAGAAATCAATAGCATTTCCAGGCAAACGTTCAACTTACTTACAAGGAAAAATTTCAATGAATGAACTCTGAAATGTTTTTCAAAAATACAGCAATGCAAAGGTGAATACATTAAATTCGACTGTGTCAAAGATGGAACTGAAAACAAAATACTTGACTGAATAAATGAACATAACTAATTGAGTTTTAAAGTATGTTCAAATATTGAGAATGCCTTTAGTTTCATATCCATGTTCATACAAGGCAAAGCTCTAAGTTTTATTTTTCTGCCTTCTACAAATTTGTTTAATTAAAATTGTGTATTCTCATGCATTATTCACAACATTTAAGAGCAAATTTATGGATACTTTAGAAGACCATGTAATCAGCGATGATATGAGTGGCAACAGGAAATAGTGCAAAATTTATAACCATCATGTTAATATATTTGAGAAAATGCAGTAGATCATTGTGTTGCAAAACCAATTACTGTATGTTTGTGGAATCTAATTAATTAGAGGTTGAGGTAGAAAAATGAAAATAATACTGTAGGAAATGGAAACGGATTGAAGTATTGCATACTTTCACCTCCCCCAGGGACAGTATTATCCATCATGTTTTGTTGAGGGAGGGTATGAAACTGTAGATTATAATATGTGTTACAAAATGGTCATTGTGAAGTGTTGTGTTGTGTTGTGTTTCAAATGGGTCCCATGTGACACTCGTATATGTGCGTAAAATACTGTAAAACGTTTTTACTGCTGGAAATTTCTCGCGATTTCATGATTTTAAGGCATTCATGGAAAAATTTCGGAAAAATCACAGACACCAGAGAAATTTTCACTGCAACAAAATTTTGTGATTATCATTGACTCGTGAAATTCATGAACATTTATTTCTTCTGAAATTAAAGCAGTCTGTAGTACTTTTATGTACAAAATTTTAACAAATGCTGCATAACAATCATAGCCTTTCAATTTTCAGCAAACCATTCAGAACTTAAAGACCCCACCATCACCAACAACAACAAATGTGATATCTATGAACAATAATTAGAATATTATAGACCAGACATACCGATAAGGGTTATTTATAATATCAACGATAATGTTTCAAATGACGACAATAAATAACCTAAATAATTTTAACTGATGAATATATTATACACAACTTGGATTTAGAACTTTAACATACCAAAATCATGCAAGACTAAACAATTTGGAGAAAAAACAAGATAAAGAGCCAAGTGCAAAAGTGGTATGCGTGTCCAGCTGCTGCCATATAATTATACCCTTGTTAGTGCCTGGATCTGTACATGCAACAAGATATACCAATCTATTACCAATACCACAGACACATTTCTCCTGTGTCTCAGCTGTGAGCAGTCTTGTCATAATTTTATTAATCTTAGTGTGTGGCTTAAACTTGTTGTATACCCTACAGGACATAGAAATCTATCACCCTGTATTTGGTTGCTGCGGTCTTATTTTAGTAATCATGATTTGTTGAAATGATAAATTATAGTGTCATCCTTCCAATAACTAGCAGAAAACCACACACAAAGCAATTGGAAAGGAAAACTGAGGTCATGTGGGGTAATGTCTAGCACATGTTGACACAAAGTAAGACTAGCTTTGGCAGGTGACAGTAAAATTGTCAATGTATTATACTGCACAAGTAGCTTGTGGGATAAAAGAAATAATGATAATCTGACTAAACAAAAATAGTGCCAATATTTGCGCACACATGCAAAAATAACAAGATTTATCCATGATGTGAATGAGATACTGACAGTGTACAATGAAATGCCAGCAACTTTTCTGTAACAAATACCCCCCACCCCGCCAATTGACAAGTTCGTAGTTTTGCACATTGCCAGTCAATACTCAATACAATAGAAGTGGCAAGTGGCAGACGGAATAACGGTGAAACGCAATACCCTGTTAATTGAGTCACGGCTTTGTTTTTGTAAGACGCTCGGCTTGTTCCGCTTTGAATTCAACGGAACAATAACACCAGCATATGTTGAAATCGACGATACTGGGTGATGTTTTGGGCTCCCGTTCATTTCTTTGTCCCCGACTCTGAGCTATGTTTTGACATCGTTATGACCGCAAATAACACTTCGATCCGCAAACCAGAGAACCAATCTACATTCACGATCCTTCTTGGTAGCACTGACATCACAGTGCCAAGAACTATCTGTTCGAGCCGGTTGAAACATTGATGATAGCGATTTATCATAAACAACACGTTGTTACGAATGATGAGTATTGACTAATTACTGTGTACATGAATCTACAAACAATATTACATCCGCAATGTGTGTTTTTTTTCACGCAATTGATGATAAAATACCTCAAAACTGTCCGAAAACCAAATGGCTGTGCCATGTTTTTCCAAACAATGCCGCAAACTTCGGCACATTCGTGTCGATAAAATAACGATACGGACAAATAAACATGATGTTATTATGAAACCGATCCGCCGTGCCGTGCCAAGATCGTGCCACCGGTCACATAAATAATACGTCACTCACCATTAGTGTATTGGCCATAGGGCGAATCTGCCACCCCGTCCTCTAAACCACTTAGTATTTCTCCCTTTCCAACATCGCTATCGCCGACGACTAAAAACTTCAACATGTAATCGTAGGGCTTCCCGATGTTTGTTGCACCCATGGTGGATAGCCGATTACACAACATCGGCGGACACGACTAGCGCGATGCGACAATCGGTCACTCACAGAGTAAAGTCGGGTCCGTTTGTTATGCTCAGAAACTAACGTTTTCTACCTGCCCATCATCACGGTTACTATTTAGATATAGACAGCGTACTCCGATCTCCCGTAAAGTTACGTATTATGCTCGAAACTAGAACAAATCCAACAATATCACTGCGAAACAACCACCACAGTCAGCTGTCATGCATCTTCCACTGTTATGTGTTGCGAATGATTTCAATTTCCCAGAAGGCAACATTGTGCGCCTGCCCAGTTCATTTTCTGGGTTCATTCGATGGTTTGTCATTTCCTCTCTCCAATTTTTGTCTGTATTATTGATATTCGACAGATTTTCGCTGGTAAATCGAATATTTTGGCAGGATGGGACTAATTGCCACATGACCGAGACCGTTCTAAGGTAATTGCATATAATACAATAAACTGTCAGAGTATTTCAGTTGTATGTTACTTGCACTATTCAGAAATGTTAGAAACGGCACAAGTCTTGCACAAATTGTGGGAACTCCACTTTGCACATAACATATCCGGGCCTTGAACTTGTGTTGACGATGTAAGTCTGGTTGCGCTCTGAATATACGACCTGCATCTTTTTTCATCTTCTTAGGAATTATAAATAAACCGTGCAATGGGTAGGAAAAGCAGAAAGGTAATAGGAGCAATACGTGCTGCCCAAATACGTTTGATGAGACTTAAAGGAACTAGAGAAAAAGGTTCCAGAAACGAGGATGGCGTTACCATAGAAACTGCTTGCCCAAATGGTGATAATAATGTTGTTGAAAGATGTCATGAGGAGAGAAGGGAAAATAAGAATGTAATGCAAACACAGCACAGAAAGCGCAGGCAAACAGACAGCATTGCCAGCAGAGTCCGTCAAAAGAAAAGACAAAATCTGAACAAAGTCGTGGAAGCTGTAAAGAGGAGGAAAACGAGTCACGATCACAGTGCTGGTGTTTCAAGTGAGACTGGAGTTCTTGATGATGAACAACTTGGCAATATTGGGATTTTTCTTTCTAACCAGACTGGTGTTATACAGCAGCATATGCTACATAATGGAGACGACTGTGCTAGTAACCCTGGTTCAGAAGGTAGGATGAGTGAGTTGGGAACTAGGAAGGCACAAGATTGGCTTTTGAAATGTTGTACAACAGTCTATCATATCGATAATAATGTTAAAATGTCTTGTATGCTTCAGAATACACGCATGATATGTGTCAATTAGATTTCAATAATACTAACAACTGTGGCAGCCAAAACATGTTCTGTATGGTCTTGTTCACTTCACATCTAACTGTGTCTTTTAGATTTAATGGGCATTGAGATTATAGTCAGCCAAAAAGTCCTACTGGGTAATATATTATAATGCAATGTATCATGTTTTACTCTATGGGATAACTTGTGTTCAGTGACAGAATTCTATAATGCTTCTGATTCCAAAACAAAGTGACATCATTCAGGAAAAAGAAACAACAGATGTTGTCATACATATTACCACCTCTTTTCAGGGATGATATTATGTGACCTATTCAAAATATATCAGAGGTTATCAAAATTTATGAAAAAAGAAATATGTAAATGCAGGAAAATATGTTTCCATAGACATTTGGTAATAATATTTGTGGGTATAATGTCCAATCTTTTATACATGGGTTTGGTGTTTCAGCTTATATTACATTATCTTTCATTTTCATTCTGCTATCAGATGAAGAACCATCAGAACCATCTTTGAGAGTATACAATGAGATGAAAAAATTGTATGGCACTAATTTGAAATATAATCTGGTTCGAGATACTTTAAAGCCAGACAGAATGACTGGAAGCAAGGCAATTAGCTCACTACCATGGGTAAGTTATATAAAGTTACTGATAGATACAGTTAGAAATTGTGTCCTAACTGGACAAAACTCTCAATTGCCATCTCCTGTTTCAAGCCTCTCAAAACCCAGAATAATTATATTATGTAGTACAAGAGAAAAGTTCTGTATTTTGTTATTAAATGACCAGGTAGTTGATTGACTACATACCGTGCATCTTTTGGTGGGGGTCTATGTTTCAGATACAAGTGTACTTCATCAATGAAGTATTTCCATTTTTTTTCTGAGCTTCATCAAGATTCCAAAGCTACCATATTAAAATAAAATTATAGCAGTAATTACTGATATGATTATGGTAAGCTATTAAGTGAAAAAAAACCACACAAATTGATTATGAAGTATATTTATATTACCGTAGTCATTCTCTCGGAAGCTAGTTTATGATAACTCCATTGGATATACCGGTAATTATTTGTAATAACCATCCGATTTCAGAAAGAATTACATGTATATGCACTTCCATTGAGGCAGTAATAACAGTAGTAACAAATTAATGGGTATGTTTTAATTTCTAATACAGCAATTATTTGTTGGGCAATCAGATGCATGTGGTGGTGAACTTGGAGTCTATAGTAAAATGCACATCAAGCATAATACAGTGTTTGAGCCATTGACTGGTATGACTATTATGCAGGATGATATTACGACAGATATAAATACAAGATTCTTGTGGCCTGTAAGTACATGGTTAATTTATTTTCATAATTTTAACTTGCATGTATATTTATTAATATCTGTGTGCTGCTCACCTTGTTCCTGACCGGCAATGTAGTATTTGATGCAATTCACTTAATCCACCATTTTGGATTGTTTGCAGTGGCTTGTTGTTGGGTTTTGGTTTGCATACATGTATGTCAGTATTTCATAGGCTCATTTAGTTGGTTCATGTCATCAAGGTCAGTTTGTCGAGATTTCACAGTACATTGTACTTTAAAATTGCAACAGAGTGGTAAAGAGATATTTAGAGGACTATTTTAGTAAATATAGCATGAATAGCTATGAATTAGAATGAATAAAATGGTGGATTTGATGACATACTCAGACAACAATATAGTGTTGGAAATAGATATTTGAAGGACTATTTTAGTGAATATAGCATGGATAGCTATGAATTAGGATGAATAAAATGGTGGATTTGATGACATACTCAGACAACAATATAGTGTTGGAAATAGATATTTGAAGGACTATTTTAGTGAATATAGCATGGATAGCTATGAATTAGGATGAATAAAATGGTGGATTTGATGACATACTCAGACAACAATATAGTGTTGGAAATAGATATTTGAAGGACTATTTTAGTGAATATAGCATGGATAGCTATGAATTAGGATGAATAAAATGGTGGATTTGATGACATACTCAGACAACAATATAGTGTTGAAAATAGATATTTGAAGGACTATTTTAGTGAATATAGCATGGATAGCTATGAATTAGGATGAATAAAATGGTGGATTTGATGACATACTCAGACAACAATATAGTGTTGGAAATAGATATTTGAAGGACTATTTTAGTGAATATAGCATGGATAGCTATGAAATAGGATGAATAAAATGGTGAATTTGATGACATACTCAGACAACAATATAGTGTTGGAAATAAATATTTGGAGGACTATTTTAGCTTTAAATAGATTATTGGAATAGCGTGATTAGCTATAAATAAAATAGTCAAAACAGAGAACATACTTGGACAAAAAGCACTGAACTAGAATTTAATAGTAGACAACTGTGGTAGTACTACAAGCTGTTGCACTGCGTTTTGATCAGTTTCATGATGGAAAGTATGAACAGAAGAAGCACTGATGCAAACTAATCCTATAATTGTATTTGTTTTGTGTCTATTATCTATTTTGTCCATCCTTCTTTGAACTTGTTATTTGTTGGTGCATAACAAACAACAGCTCTCTTAATGTTGAAGGGAAACCTTCCAAGCCCAGGGATTGCACCAAAGAATCATGGGACACTATTGTTTATGTTGTTTACAAAATTAACTATCTTTTGTTACCCATTGTAATTTTAATCAAGAAAGTAAATTTGTTGTGAGATTAGGCTTAACTGGAGTGCCCCTTTAAGGACTTTTTTTCTCCACTACATTGACTTCTAAATTTTTTTTAGAATTGCACATTTTAAGCTTTAAAGAGATGATATTTTTAACTTCACTAGGTTTTTAATGAGAATGGTAAAGTGTCCAACTATTTGGATCTGTCTGATGAGAGCAAATCAACCTGGCTGCGTTATTTGAATCCAGCTCCAAAAAGAGATTTACAAAATATTGAAGTTCGCTATACACAGGTTAGTATGAATGCTGGTAATACCACTTTGGTGATACCGGTATATGGATTTTGTATATCTGTACTTAGTTACAGTAGAAGTCATTGTATAGCTGGGAAATTGCATTAGGCAAAACCCGTCTGGTGATAGATATTGTGCAAAACTGTTATCAAAACAGAAAAAATGTGTAAAAATGCACATTGTTGCACTAGCAATGGGAAAATAGAAAACATTTTATTTTGGAAATGTGCATAGTTTTCAGCCTAGCAACATTCATGCTTACTTAAAAGCCATCCATTTTTTTGTTCTTTACCTACAGAACACCCTCTTCTTTGTGAGTATCAGAAATATCAAGCCAAATACTGAATTATTGTTTTGGTTTTCACCTGCATATTGTAAACTTCTATGTGTACCTTGTGATCCTGAACGACAGGTCTTGCGTACTGGTGAGTATGAGTGGCAGTCAATTCAACCCTGGAAAACCCAACATTTCAAGTCACTACACTAAAAAAAAATTTTGTTTTTCAGACAGGTTTCATTTTTATCATTGTAATTAAGGATCACAGGGTGGAGGGGCACATGTCATTAGTGGTCCAAGTCTATGGGACCATCTTTCTTCCATTTTTTTTCATAAGGTTGTGTGAGAGAACCGCTGAAAGGAATGATCTCAAACTTTTTATGTTGATAGGGGTTAATTTTAGTTGGGTCACATGGTTCAATGTACCGGTACTCTATTGAAAAACAGTGAACTTCGCAAATCCTTAACAAAATTTAGACTTGGCAACCACTGTCTGAAAATTGAAACAGGCCGGCATACAGGATTGGATTTTAAAGACAGAGTCTGCAATATGTGCGACAATGACCATGTTGAAGATGAACAACATTTTGTCACAAATTGTCCTCATTACAATGAAATAAGATTAAAACTTTACATTGTAGCTAATAAACGTATACCAAATTTTGACAAATTTAGTAATGAAAATAAATTCATATCATTACTAAGTGACGAGAAAATGTCTATTCCTTTAGCGCAATATTTAAAAAACTGTTTTAATACAAGACAGCAGCACCTACATAAACTAAGCCAGTAATACATTCCTTGTATTCAACTTATTATCTTTTTTTTTTTTTTTTTTATGCCTTTTTGTTCCCTTACTCTTTATGTGGTTATTTTTCTTTTACTAATATCTGATTTGTAACCCTTTTCATCCCCTCCGGGGGATGTTGTGTGTTAATAAATAAATAAAAAATAAATTGCTCCAATCTGACTTTTTTGCTGTAGCATCATTGACATGTGTGCTGTTAGTATCATGAATAAAAACTACCGTACTGGTATGTCACAATACTTTACAAGAATATTTTACAGAAAAATGGCATAAAATACTTCAAACCCACTAACTTTGATCTGAAATTTATATACATTGTTTACTTAAATGCATTCTAGTTTGAGAATTGTTTCATGATTGGCCACTGTCTTGGATTCAAGAAAACAATTGCTCATACTGTAGTTTCATTGGCTATGTGCTATGTGATGTAGTATTGTTTTATTCTCATAAAAATCTGTTCACATCCCCACATTGATGTAGTGTAGTACAGATACTGTGGTGGTGACAGTTCATTGATTGTTTTAAATTTTCTCCTGTTAGATTGCGACAAGTGTCATGTGCGGTTTGACAATGCTCTCTATACCCAGAAGCATATAAATATATTCCATCCATATGGCTTGAAAACTGACAAGTACACATGCTATCAGTGCAAGGAAATCTGCTATGGTAGAAAGAAACTAATACGCCACATGAAGGAGGAACATGGCACATCGTCAGCTTGGCAGTGTGATGAATGTGGCAAGGTATTTTATTTACTAAATTTTTAAACAGCTTCAGTAAGCAATCACGCAACAAGATTTGTTATAAGATAAATTTTACACCATTACCGGTATGTATGAAATCATAAGCACATAATTTGTCATAATTCATGCATATACTAGAAAAGAAACCAATCTGTCTGTATTATGCCAGGGCGTGATACTAAGGATATTAAAGTCATATAGCCTTGGACAGGTAAATTACCAGACAAATACATAGTAACACAATTAACTAGCATGTGACTGTTTGATCACAAATGTTGCTTACTGATCAATACTAGTTTGTGATCTGCTGGGACAATATTGTTCATAAGTTGTTTCATTAACAGGGATATATTTATGTATATGTGTATTTAATAACAGTAGCAACAAACAACACCATTATTTTTTTTTGGGGGGGGGGGGGGTGAATGACTGATTCTTACCAACAAATCACATCAACTGCAGGAAATTTAAAACGTCTGTAGAAGTTGGTTCATTGCGTATTATGGTCAGTGCATGACTGACCTAATGAAAATATTACATGCCTTTACTTTCATGCAAATACAATACATGAATTCTAATAGGATTATAGTTTTTTGTGGTCCATTGAAGCTTGCTTGTATTGACCATTGCCACTGCTATATAGTGAACTGTTGTTCAAGATGGCAGCCATCATCAAAGCTTAGCTTGTTTTTATCTTAATGTAAAGTCTGCGACCGTTTTGGAAAGCAAACTTTCAGTGTATCAACTGAGAGGCGTGTAACAAAAATATTACAGCCCAAATTTTAATGTTTATGCACACAAGGAGATTTGTTTCTTATTTTGGGTAAAAAACCACACATGCCAATGGAATAAATACATTAAGTTTAATCCAAAAATCTATTTCACTATAAAGGTATCTCATTTCTTTTTGTAATGGACAAAATCAATATTGTCATACTCTTGTCTATCTTAGGTCCCATGTCATCTGTTTCAACTTCACGTCTTTATTTGCAGGCAGTTCATAGCAATTACTATCTGAAAGAACATAAAAGAAAGGCTCACCTGCCAGAGGAAAAAGCCAAGAAATATCCCTGTGATCAATGTTCGAAAATGTTTAAATGTAGAGCTCACCTTCGTCGACATGTTGAATGCATCCATACTAGTGAGTACCGATCCTAAAAACAAAAGGTTTTACTCTTTTACCTGTGGAGGCGCTGTTCACCTACAAACTTCTTATTGTGTGGCAGCAGTACACTTTTTATATGGATTTGTACAATAATAATAATACACTATTATAGTATTTTATTTTGGAATTAATTTTTCTCTGAAAAACTAATGTTTTAAATTATATTTTTAGAATTGTGATAACACTTATTTTTTTGTAATAATTGTAAATTAATGTATGGGTGATTACAGGATAGAAATTCAAGTTGAAATCGACAGCGAGGAATTCTATTTTGAGAATTCCATGTCCTAATAAGATAGCTTACAGATATCCCATGGTGGAATGGACAATACTGATATTTTTTCCCCTATCAAATTGCAGGGAAATTTGAGCATGAATGTGAACACTGCCATAAGAAGTTCTGTGTTAAGAAATACTTGGAGAGGCATTTGAGAGCACATAAGGGAGAGTTTCCATTTGTCTGTGATAAATGCAGCAAGGGATTTTTTGATTCTCACAGTTTAAAAGTACATCTGTTGACGCACAGTGGCGTCAGACCATACAGGTGCACACTGTGTGATTCATCCACCACCACCAAACAACTGCTGCAGTTCCACATGAAAAAAGCTCATGGATTCACAGATGAAAACATGCCTGAAATTAAGAGACAGGTTGAACTAACATATGATAGTACACCAATAACTGGCTACCGAGAAAGAGAAAAACCTGCGAGACAACGTATATTTCGCTCTCGGTCTAAGTCTAACAGATCACCTGAAGCAGAAGTCCAATCTTCTCAGCCATCAAAAGGAGTGTCCGATGCTGTCGAGAAGATTGCTGTTGATACTTTGCTGCAGTCTTATCAGAATGAGGAAGATCACACGTATACTGAAGCAACAAATACAGACCATCAGACAACCAATATTCAGTATCCAGCTTCATCTGTCTCTCAACAAGAACGTACAGAAGATCTGCAGCAACAGCCTACACCAAATCTTCACACTGTTCCACATTCTGAAAATGTCATATCGCTGAACACTAATGTAGCATCTCACCCTATTCAATCAACAGCTGCCAGCTATGACAAGCCTGAACAGCCTTTAATGACCACGTCAAGTTCTTGCCACTCCATCACTCAACACCAGCACGGAGCCTCAGCGTCATTGACAAGTAACCTCCAACAAACCCCGCCACCATTTCATCACTCACCAGGATCAGAATACACGTACAGCTCTGCCATTGCTGGTTATCACCACAATGAGTCTCACATGGGTAACCATGGATACAATCCTCCACCTATTCACTCGCATCCAACAACAACCTACCCATCGAGTTACCACACTGCTAATGTTGGTCCTTATCCAAATCATCCACCGCATCTCAATGCCCACCATAATTATGTGATAAATCAGGCACCATGGCAATAATGTGACTTCAGCTGAACTTTAACCAATTTTCACTACTATTCAAATGCAGCTCTTAATTGTTCAGTGTCAAGCCTTTTTTACAGACACTTTTCAGTGTTTTATAAAATACATTTAGTGATTACTGCCCTCTGGTGGCAAGAGTTGTTTTACAAAATTTTTATTGTATAGTGGAGCTAAGATGTATAATTCTGATATAAATGTGTTTTGTGATACAATTTAGCAAATTGGAATACTAATAAGTGCAATATATGAGCAATTTTGTGACAGTATTTGGTTGTTTTTGTTTCTATACACTATGTCATATTAACTGTTTTTAAACCAAATTTTTTTTCTCCCTTTTCTTTTTTTCAAATGAGTGAATGTAACATAATTTTCAGCTCATTGTTTTATATATTCCTAACTATTGAGAATATTGAGCAATTTTAATTTGCAGGAATTGGAATATGCATCTCGCATTTTAATTTGTTTAAGAAACTATGTATTTTACATGAGCTGGATATGTGACATGGGACCCATATTGAACATGGTATGCCATGACGACCACTGCTTTTTAACTTTGAAGACCCTGAGGCTGTTACTGTAACTGTAACTTTTTACACTGCCCTTAATGGTATTTACACAACTTGTAATAAGCTGCTGGGTGAACTGGTGAATTTGATGTACCTGTATTATCTTTATTGTCAATCACACTCGTTTAGTTCATCTATTAACAAAATGGCAGGCTCTAAACAATTGCTGCTGATGTTGTCCACACATTCGTTCAGTTTGTACCCACATTTCACAGACAATCTGATGCAATTACTGGAAGCTGTGGAACCATTGGGGGTGCATAAAATATGTGGAACAACCGAACAAATCGGAATAGCTAATAGCTCAAGCCAATTGTTACATTGTCAAAAAATGTTGAATTAAAAACCAGAGGTGAAAAAGCATAAAGATATTACAATGTCGAAAAATTCATAAGACGGCATTGCAGTCATGAAAAAACTCAAAATTCGTCGACTGGTGGTGTATCTCGTGGTTTACAAACCCACTCTCCACACTTTTCAACATTGCAAATTTCGGACCAGTCATAGGTCATGTATAAATTCCCTCAGGGGATCATGACCCACACACGTGACCAGCATGCTCTGGTCAAGTTTACGAAATCTCACTATTATTTTCACTTAAAATGCCAACAAAACAACAACTCGAGCAAACATTGCTTTCAATTGTGAATAGGAAAACAAGTACCGGTATTTTAAAGATATTGTTTAAAGTTATCTGGTTGTTAATATTAATTCCACAATAGAAAAAGAGGGTAACTTTGTGTGTCAGTTTCTCACAAGTTTGCAGTGAAAAATCAGCACGGTTCGACAATTGGATAGACAATGTTGTATTTTTAATTAAGTGAGCCAAAATAAAGTAGTGTCTAGACATAACAGATACTAACTCAAAGTCTGAGACAATGTAGACAATGATTATGATAAACATGGTTGACAATGATTACTGTAAATGCCCCATGTTAACATGTGCCTTTGTTTGCCAACAGATCTTTACTGATCAATATTATATCGACTGTACTTTTGATAAGCTTATAATTATCGTTTCAGTAAATTATCCAACAAAACAAAATGTTGCATTCTACTCATGTTGTCTAGCTGAATTGATTTCTGCTGTACAAGATTTCTCTGATTAAGAGATGTCATGCATTATATATGGTTTCCAAGGTATTATAAAATATTTTGTTTTCAAATGTTTCTTGTATCTTCAGCTCTTGTACATAAGGAAGGTAATGTGTTTGGTGTGAGGATTTTGATCAAATTATTGCATAAGATAATGCAATGATATTAGATTTTGGACCATGTCTGTGCATATTAAGTAGATAATTTGCATATCAATTATCTCATTTCTGTGTATGCAAAATTTCAAAAATGTCCTAGAGGAATTTGATCAAATTTAGCAATCATGACTGTGCATATTAAGTAGCTAATTTGCATAATGTCTCATTTCGACCTGTGTAAGCAAAATCTCCTAACCTCTGATGTCTTTGCTTCTTCATTAACTGTTTGGAATTTTCATTTCTTAAATAGTTATAAAACAACAATGATTGCATATACCCGGTACTCTGTTTACAGCGTTTAACTTCAATTTAAACTATCAAAAGCCTGGATGCCTATGATTTGAAAGTATAGTAGCCTCTCCCCCTCCCCCTTACCCACTTTCAAGATCATCATTGTTGCATACATGGTCTACCTACTTGTGAATCTGTTATTCGTCGTAATTTTTTTTGCAAGTATTCTTTAATTCTAATATTCGACTTTTCCTTCTGTTTTTTTTTTTTACTCATACATTGTATATAGTACAGGAACAATTTATTGTTATTTTCACTGATTTTTGTCTGATTTAGCTGTGGTGTCTATGTATTCAAAGTTGTAATCTGAGGAGACTATAATCTGAGATGTTACTTATTTTGTATCTGAATTCTGTATGAACCAACAATTGCAGACATGAGGCTACCATGTTTGACGCATTTGTTTGTTCACTTAGTTATTTTTGGTTTGTTTTTCAAGAAGATTCACAAAGGTTTAGTTTTGAGCAGCCTGTGAATACCATCATGCGTTTGCTTTTGTGTGCACACACACTTGATAGATCAAATATGAAATGCTAATCTAAACACAAATGAATGTTTTGTAAAATCCCCACAATGCTGCTCCAGACATTAGTTTTTGCCTTGGCTGGCTAAGGTGGTTTTATCGTTAACCAACAGTTATACTCATTATATCATACTTTTGCTTGCAATTGTATATAATAATAAAATAAACATTTCATTTCCTTCTCTGGATATGACTTCTCTGTGCATGATGCTTTAAGCGAAAGTGTGTGGGTTAGTGTGAAATGTTCAATTATAAAAAAGGGACCATGCCTAGCAATGGCAATTTTGGATAGAGCCATAAAACATGTGCATCAATTAATTAAAGCTTATGAAAGTAACTTTCAATCAAGAAACATGCTTCTACTGATTGATTTACTGGCACAGCAAATGGTATTTCTACCGTATAGTACAAGAACTGATGCAACTCCATATGGCTATTGGTGGGGTCCATCGGATAATGTGCTTACCTAGAATATGAGGCTTCATCCTCAAGGGTGAAAGCTGTCAAAACGAGAACCTTACTTTTGAAAGTATTCACAATCATAATATTAGAACTGTCCCAGTCAAGATATGGACTAGAAACTGACGTAATTGGACTAAAATATCGGTCAAAATACTTAACGTTTACTTGAAAGTACTCTCGGCGCAAGAAAGGCATTTAAAATATTTATAAATTTCAATGGTATTTGAATCAACTCATTATTACTACAGATTCGCAATCACAAGTAACAAGAGAGAGAGAGAGAGTAAAATGTAAATGTTTCATCCTCCTTTTTGCAAAAAGTACATATTAAGGAGAATCAATGTGGTGTAGTGACATTGTATATTATAGTGACATTGATGTGAACCAGATAATTTAAAATACGACAATATAAATCTTGTGACTTTGAATCAATGGTTGTTAAAAAGTTTACATAGATAAAAGTAATTATAGCTTAATGGTGGAACAAATTTTCTTAATTTAAGGCTTTGGGAAATCAATTTATTAACAAATGTCAATAGTAACGGTTATCTTTGACGACATTAACTGAGAGAACTTGTCTGATAATATATCGTTTTTGGATATTTTATTGTTTTAGCATGTCGTAAATAATACTAGTTGTTAAAAAACAATTTTCCATGGGTTTACTTTTTTCCCAGATATTTGTAACGCAATTTGTTCTGACACCGTATAGTATTCTTATTAAATCCGGCATGGCCAGCCCCTCGTATTTACATGTAATATTGGCCACTGTTCTTATTTGTGAAATTCTCTCAGAACCATTCCAAACAAATGAATAAATTATAGCGTTAATTTGCAATAGTGTGGAATTAGGTACAACAATGAATTTGAAAGTATACATGAAGTTGGCCGTTACCAATTATAATAATTTGGAGTTTGCTAATTAAGATAAATTTACTGGAGCTTACGGAGTATTGTTTATTATCAGTCGTGAGATTATTTATATTCTACACATGTATTACTTATTTCTGTATACTGTAACATGTTTTATTTTAGTTGAAATTCATTTTCGCTGAAAAGACTTTTTGGGTATTTTGTATGCAGTTTAATTTCATTTTTGACAAGTTGAATATAAAATATATGAAAAAAGGTATAATTGCTGGATTTTATTTTTACTGAATCACCCCCCAGCGAAAATAAATTAAAAGCGAAAATTAAGAATTTACAGTATGTGGTCTAAATACAAATAAAATACATTATTACAAACCTGTGTATAGCAACCCAGTTATAACGACCCAGTCGACTTCATTAAAGTGGTCCTTAAGGTTAGGTGGTCTTTATATGGAGGTTGGATTATATTGTTATGAATCGCTAACTCATAAAATTGACTTAATATTTGTCCAAAGTTGATAAAAATCAAATAATTTGACGTGAGGATATTACAAATATTCTATAAACAAAAATGCTAATTATTATATGGTCCCTGAGCAAAAGCGAATCTGCAAACATAATGCTGAAAGGGTGGTCACATTGGACACATTCTGATCATACTTTGGGATTGCTTAAAAGTGGTCACTATCCGCTATATGTAGTTGGTCTCTGTATAACTGGCACAGATTCGAATTTGTTATATAAATGAAGATGAATCCCATCTAATAATGTCCAAAGTATGAACAACAAATCAGGTTTCTAGTTGAAGATATGACCAAACACATAAATAATTTCAGTAACCTGTCAGTTCATAGTCAATTTATTTCTATAATGAGTCTTCACAGTACAGAGATCAATACAGCACAATTTATTAAACGTTGTCTCAAAATAAGACACCAGCACCTCATACATGTAATTATATAATGTATTTTCGTATGTCTAATAATTAAGAATAGAACATATAACAAGTTTCATGAAATTTTACAATAAAAGCTAACCAAAATATTTAACATGTGTAGTCAAATGCCATCTTCATCATGATCGTAAGTTTGAAACCTACACTTTTATAATACTGCCACAGAGGGCGTACTAACATTGAACATGTGATTTCCGTCGCTTTGAAAAGGACAGCGCTTGATAAAAAAAAAATAGATGGTACATTTCTCCGTTAAATCTTCCCGAAAAACTTTATCAGGTGAGAGAATTTTAATTTTCACGCATTTATCTTTGTATGTGAGTTGGTGTTTAATGAAAATTGTGAAAAACTTCCAAGTGTTTTCTTAAAATTTGACAACGGATTTATCGAAACGATAAAAAAAAAAACTTTCGCTGCTCGTTCAAACTCTGAATACGTTTTACTAAACGTAAGTGACTGACATATTCTTATATATTTTGCACTGTCTGTCACATTATCAGGACATGTTTCTTCGGTTTCATTTTGAGCGTTTTTGTCTGAATGTACGTGGTCGTTATCGTTGTTTAATACCAGCGCAATGTTGAGAAAAGTGTGTTCCCCTATTCTGTTTCCGTTTCCACTCCTAGTCCCACGTTGTAAATCTGAACTTGTGCGTTGAACATTCGAATTTGCCGCTGTCGCCATGAATATATAAATAACAAACAGAACTGTGGGCACGTAACATCATGTACCAATTTTATCTCTCAGGAAGCAGCATAATTTGGTGACACGTCTGGGCATTCAGTCAATCGATTTTTGAGTGTTCGTAATCTTGATAATTTACCGGGGTACTCGTATAAATAATAGTGAAATCTTAAAATTTTTAGTGAATTTTGTAAAAAAAAGAATTCCAATTAACTGCATTTACTCACGGAGGTAGCTTCACACGTAATTCACATTTAAAATCTCTGTGTTATGTCATCAGACACAACACAATAATAACATACACAGGACATGACTACACATCCAGCACCAAGTACAACATGTACAACAAAATATAAATATTCCCTTATCAAATATTAACATTCATGTTTGTTAATCAATTTAGATGACAATAAATTTTGGACACTCCTTGTGCAAGTTCGTTTTGTGATTTTTGTACACTGAAGTCAGCAAAGGCATGCGCGTTATAAATTATAGACCTGAATTTTATAATAAACTCAATTGACAGTTACTCATTGTATAAGCATTACCAGTGATGTAGGCTGTCTACTTTATGCAAGAGCATGGTATGGAAAGTCGCACCCGTCTTGATCAATTCAATCATTTTGTTTGGATTTGAAAGATAAGTGTATTACTAGTATTTTAGCTGAAATTATTCTTACTGATTTATCATGTATGACTAATGCACAAACCATTGATGAGGAAGAAAGATTTTCCTTGTATTAAAAATATTATTCGGAAAGGAAATTATTCTATATGAGCAAGGTAATAATAATAATAATAAAGAGACATTGTGGGTAACTTTGAGTATTTTGTTTGCTCTATTAGTACCGGTAGTGCATATGCTGTGATGTGTCTATGGTCAAAATAAGTTGTATTTGAATAGAACAGTATACCATAAATGCAATTTTCGGTTTATGTGTGTTTCTAAAAGATAATTTGGACAGCACATAAAAAAACTCTTACGATATTCACATAAATAATTTTGATGTATCCTTACCAATACAATATTTCTGTCAGTTATTAAATATAATAATATATAATAATAAACAAAATTTTAGTGTAGAACTATGATAATTATGTAATACATTAGCTAGTGTTTCACTTAATTTTGTAATTATGCTGTGAATTAAGTTGCCAACTCGTTCTTCAGAAGTGTGCGCAACATACAAAAGAGCTTTCTTTCCAGACTACCAAGAAAATACATATAAATATATTAAATATGTAAAGATGGTGACACTGTATTGCAGACCTAAACCACTCTTCTTTGCAATAAATAATCCACAACAGGCTATAATAATTAATTATTTAAACATTGATTTTGGTGACAAATTAATAACATTTGTCATGAAAATAAAAACATACACCAGATTATTCTGCCAAAAGCATTCCCTAAATCCAAGGTCTCTGTATTCTGTTTTTTTTTTTTTCTTTCTTTCAACCACTAACAAACAGACCAACTTTTGTGTGAAGTTGAGCAATATGGATGAGGGAATGTATTCTTAATATACTAAGCTCTTGTAAGTAATTAGCTACAGGATCTCATTGCTGTAAATTAACCACCTTTGTATATTTGAAAAGTGCTTTGTACAGGAACACGCGAGTTCAGCCATTGAAAATTGACGCCAAAAGCCTTGTACTTTTGTTGGTAAACAGCTGTCAACTAATGAGGTGGGAGAACATATGAATAGAAAATTTGTCATTACTAGAGCAATGTGTTCTCTGATTGGTTGCTGTGTTTTAATATTCATGAGATATGCCCATAATGCACTGCAGTTATTTGAACCCTCAATAGTCAGCCATTATACTCACACGGAGTTCAATAGACTGGGGATATCATACATGACAGGCTTGCAAGTGAAATGCATGGCATGACCGTTATATTGTGAGAGGAGATACATTTTATTTATTTACTTCACGGATACATTGTAAGCAGTAAACATGAAGCGTAGGACAAATACTATGACTAGTATGCAGCAAAGCCCGTTTGAAAGGTCTAAATCTCATCTAAGGTAATGCTATTCTGCACACACATCACAACATGGTCTTCTTCATCCCAGACAGATAAAATAACTTCTATTTCCAGTTTTTATTGTGCATGTGGTGTACAGACATTGTTGATACAGTGCCAGTAAAATCTGGGTTTTTCACATCAAATTTGGCCTGATGTTTACTGCTTCTGTCTGTTCATGGAGCTAAAATATTATTTTAGCTCCATGGTCTGTTCTACACACAAATGTATGTTGTTTTCATTTGGAGTTGGTGCACACATGGCCTGGTACTAAGGCCATTGTCATCATGTTAACCTTTACATATGGTTGAGTTGTGGTTTGTTGTTCATTCGTTTAGCGCCTTGCTTTGACTGATAAATTATACAATTGTCTAGATGTTCTAGTGTCTAGATGTTCAAGTGTAGCAATTGACAGTGTCACTGTGGGTATTTATAGAGTACTAATTTTGTACTTGATCTGATCTGCTTTTGTTCTAACTGTGTACTTAGTGAGTTGTAATTAACACCAACCTTTCAATAATTACAAACCTAATAAATGCTCTTGTTGCAGTGTCGATGTGTGGTTAACACTTGTATGTGTTGTGCAGTTATGGTCCATATGCCATGGCCTTACTATAAATAATTAGGAGCTTGAACTTCAGTATTCTATTCTAATGTGCTAATTTCAAGGCCAAAATTGACTGAATAGAATTTGTAAAGAAAATATCTCAAGTTTTGAATGCAGATACATGTAGGTATGGCATCTTGGGCAGTGACCTTATGGCCCTTGTGAATTTCAAGTTCTGCCCTTCCATATTCTCAGAATTATGGAATTATCTCAGTTCTGTTGATTGTGCAGTTATTTTGTTTATACGTAAAAACATATTTTTTAAACTTGTGGTTATCTTGTAGTTTATGATAACCTTTTTGGTTATATATATGTGTTAAAGTATTTTCACAAGGCTCCCGCCAAATCCATTGAAATCAACCATCTGTTTCTCATGTCAGTAGAAATTTAAGAGCTTCCGCCATTGCTGTCAAGCCCTTGGTGTTTTATTGTGGTCATGCTTGAATCGCATATGCAGTTTAAAAGTTCATGGTTTGGATATTTAAAATATCCCTATGCTGGGTATGCTCTGGATTTTTGAGGGTTAGTACATGTGAAAATTGAGAACAGCAAACAAGAAATTGGAAACATTTCTCATATACATCATAATGTGATTTTTTTTTGAATTCATCTTGAGATTTTAATAAATTTTGAAAAAAGAATTGCTATTTTAATACTCTACTTACTAATGACAGAGAGAGCATAGCTACATGTATGCATGTCTGAAGGTGCCTGTTCAACTTGTTTGTTAGCCATCACAACATGCTGTCCAACTGCCAAGACTTGGATTGATATGCTTGTAGTTGTCAGTCATTGATACTGGTGTAGGGGATAAGGTCATATTATTAAAATTTAAAAATAGATGTTTGAATATATCTAACAAATTGTATGTATTAATTGACATATCACAGACTTTTCTTTTAAAGTATGTTTTGCAAGAGATTTTAAAAGTTTGGAATAATACAGAATAAATATGCGATTACCTCACTGACATAGACTGAATACCAACATGTAATATTGTGATATATGCTTGTTTAAATATAGATCATTAATGATGTTCAGTTTGTTATGTCATTTATTAGTCGTTATTGTATAGAAATCTATTTAAAAATAGTTTTACATTTTCAATTTGTTTTATAATATAGTTAAGGCAATAATGATGTCATGAATTTGGTATTTCACTGTTGACCCCTATTAAATTTTTTGAATGTGCATTTAAGCAGCATTATTTGTATTTGTGCTTATGTAAAAACAGATACTAGTAGTTGTCTAGTAATTTTGAAGTTAAAAGCCATATATATACAAATTAATTTATCGACTCACTGTGGTTTGTTAAAAGTGCTTTTCTAATAAAATAAATTCAAAAGTATAGTTCATCTTATTAATTAGAGGTAACCGTTTTATGGATATGGTTTGTTGATGATTTATTTATAGAAAAAAAGTACATGGACTTAAAACAAAAAATAGTTAAAAAGCGATAAGTATAGAATCTTTTCATATCTAGCATGATAGTTTTGTTTTGTAGTCTATAAACCCACTGACAATACAGTAGACCATGTACCTGCTATCCACTGTTATTTTGCTTCAAACGCACATTACTACTCCTGTTGACATGGGCCGTAAACAGACTTCTTGTACTTTACATAAGGTTCATTACTTTAGTACTACAAGAAGATAAGATTAACTTTAAAGTGAATATCACAGTCACTATTTCTATAGCACATTGTTTCCTATTCTATACAGTCAGATTATTGACTATTTGTGAACTCCATTGTGGAATTTGCATTGAATTTCGATGGAAACCAATTTTTAAAGAGCCAACCAAGCTCAACTTAATATAAGGTATACTCGGGTGCACTTTTTACTGAACTAAATAGCTATGGTTAATAAGATTACAGATCAGAATAGTTATACCTTATTTTTATTACCGGTAGTTTTAATGAATTATAAAATCATTGACAATCATAATGTTGCTAAAGCTGCTAAATCAGGAAATTAGCACAATTATTGAAATTCCTAATTAAATGACCTGTAACTGAGTGCTAGACATATGTTCAGTACCACAAGTACCGTATCATCATAGAGTTAAAAAAAAAAGTACAAATTCCAGGTCACACCCACGAAGGGCACTCTTTACTGTAAAAAATAAATAGCTTGATATATTCGGAATACAATTAGCCACCAAAGAAAAAGGGTGTGGTGTCAAAGTTCTTGCTAGTTCCATGGTATCATCAAACTGATATCTTCTTTATCCTTCCCATGCTAACAAAATACTTGGATAAACACTTTTATATTAATAATGACACAATTTGACTTGTCAGGAACATACCATTTCATTGCTGATATAGAAGCTTTGACACCACACCCTTTTTTTGGTGTCTAATTTTATTGACAATATATCAAGCTATTGTACTTTCTTTACAGAAAAGAGAGCCCTTTGTAGGTGTGTGACCTGGAATTTGTACTTATTGACCATACTCTAGAACTGTCCAACTCTACAGTAGAATAATTGTCTCCTGTATTCTTCAATTAATTATGGGTTATGTGATAATAATATAGCAGGTGTGGAATGTGAAGTAATTGTATGTATATCACTTATGCTTTATCAACGCAAACTACAGGTATACAAGACTACATGATCTAAAAGGTATCAAACATATCTGAATAAATTAGGTTTGGCTTTCACATGGTGACCGGACTAATTATTATTAATCAATAAAAATGATCTCGCTTTTTAAAGTAAAATATATAAGAAAGCCTCCGTGAATAGTTAAAATGAATTGGGAAAACATTCTGTTGATAGCTTTCTTTGGGTGATCACATTGACAACTGTAACCAGTTGACAACTGGTGATGGGTTAATTAAAGCCCAGATTATTACTGATTTTACATTGAACATGACTTCCTCAATGAACAATAATTTACCTGTTATAAAGCTATTATGAATTACAAAGTCACATGTGATTAATGATCACTAAAAAAAAATATGTGCCATAAATCCAACAGTTATAGCAATGTGGTGATATGAAGTAAATTATTCTATATTTATAGTACCGGTAGTAGTCAACTACTTTGCATTTAACAGCGGATGACACCTGTTGTGTCATATTAATGTGTACGTGGCGTAACATTTCATTTATTGTTTAGATGTTAAATTGCAGTATGAATGTTTAAAAGCTATAACAACAAGCTGTTGGATTTTTAGATTACCCCCATAATTACAGTCAGTTGCAGTAATTTGTTCAGGAATTCAAAGTTCTTTTTATAGCCGTTTATGTAAATGATTTCTGGAAGGTACTATATAGCTGTAAGAAATGAAATATGGATGTATGTCGAGAGATGCATCTAGCATGTTTATTAATTCAAGCAGCCAAAAAATTTTTTTATTTGCTATGAATTCTATTATGATTTTACAACTTCCATCTATCTCACTTTTATATTCCCCACTACCACTAAATCCCTTTTGATGGCATACATATTGTATCTTGGCTGTACAACATGAATAACAAAAGACTATAGTGTGGTTCAGTTGATCCATGTTCATCTTCTCATTGTATGCCATCCCATATTTGCCTATTCTGACTACTTTGAATGAATATATTTTTATCTGCTGGATTCTACAATTTTTTTATACATTGTAACCCTGGTACACTAACTAACATACCTTGAATCATACATGTAGAAAAATATTCTTTTACATCCATGGCTGCATATGCAAAAGTATTTATTCAAATTGCAGTAGATTATAAGTGGGGGAACCTGGTTATTTGATACTGTAAATTTTCCATAAGTACTTTATGACGATATCATTTTGAAAATATAAGTCTTAAAATATAATTTTATTATAAAATATCTAAACAAATCAGCAGAAAATCCACTATTTTTGTTATTTGTTGAAACATCATGGAGTATAACTTGACTTTACATGTTGTCACAGCTGCTTACTAGCTGCTATTGTGATCAGCACTTGAACATTATCTATGGGTGATCAGGGTTACTGTGTACTCTACTGTATAATGAAAATGCCAGATAAAATGCAATAGGCTATTTACTCAAGGTCTGTGGAATGTAAATGTGACTGTACCAACCAGTATATAACTGGTCAGTGAACTGTTCAATACCTCATTATGTGTATTACTGCCGTGGCTGAATACAAATTTGAACAAATTGGCTTGAATAATTTACGTACCATAATAGATTTATACAAACTATTGATTTAGAATGAATCCCGTGTTTCACATATGCCCATATACTGGTCATTGCCAAAAGACTTTGATGCTGTTGCTATCTTAATTTTCTGAGTGTACTTTATTCTTTATTTCACTTGAAAAAGGTGATAACATATTGTGCTGCATTTGTAATCCGACAAATGTTTATTTTTGGGGTTCCCACTAAATAACTATTACGGTAATCTGCTATAGATGCCTTCAAGTAATTATTATCATTATTGTACATTCAGTTTCATGGAAAATAAACTGCACTGAAAATAAATTATATAAGCACAGTAATACAGTACACCAAGTATTTGAGTAAAAATAACCATGGACACATGATACTTTAACAAAGGTCAAAAGTTGAATTTCAAACAAATTACTTGACCTGGAATAAATTTATTCAGGTACTGTAGAGATAATATCAGATGAAATCCAAGTGTACAGAGTCAGTTTTGTATAATTTAATTCTAATAATCTTTAATTATATGCTAATGACTGTAATGAAAATTTTTGATTTCTACTTTATTGGAAAATTATTTTCTGTGCTTGCTTCTGTTGCAAATTTAAAATAAATGTAAGTCATTAAAGGTTTCTTCACTGATCCATGCCATAAATGGTGTCACTTTTTAAAACCACGAATCACAGTGGCTGTTGTCTCCGCAAATGACATAAAATTATCATATCACAGAAATTTATAAAACAAAAACTTTTCACTGTATTGTTTCACTAAATATGCATAAAATCAAATGTGTCACTGAATACATTAGTTAGTGGTCAAGGAGGCTGCATGTATTCAGTTTTCATATTCAACCATAGTGTCTATAGTCATCAGTATCAATGTATATTCTGTCCAAACTAATACTTATAAACACAGAAAATATTAAGTTCAAGGTTAAAAGAGTCATGTAATGTCTTTTTTGTACAAACAAGTATCATTCATTACAGAGGTAATTTAAGAGAAAAAGAGGTAGTGAAACCAGGAGAGTAGTTATGCCTGTAAAAGAGCCATGTTATTGTATGCACACTTGTAAGAGTGTAAAAAAATAGCTAGAATATCAAATTATTGTGCCTACTTCCTTCAATATTATTAGTAGAAGGGATCTAATTTGTTTTTCTGTTGATCATGTTTGTATATGCTTGTTTGTAAACATGATGATTTTAATATGTTTGCTCTGAAGTGTTGTTGTGGTTGCTAATAATCACTTGTTGTATGTGTACAACAATGTACATGTATTTGTATAGGAGGAGCTTAACTTTTGTGGCCCACTGTGGCAGTGATTAAATTGTTCAACATGAATTTGGTACGAAGGGACTGTGGTTGACAGGCATGATGTCCCGGTTAAAGTCAGTTCCTTTTAATATTAACACAGCCTCCTGAAAGCCTCCACAAAAATACTAATGTCAGTAGGGAAAAAAAAGAAGAAATGCGTTGAATGGTCTTGTTTATTTTATAGTATACTAGAAGTTGCTAGTCAAGTTTGTCCAATTTGGCTGGTTCCAATGATCAACTTTGCACTCTGATGTGAGCTTTTTGAGTCGTGGTCATTGTGACAGTGACATCTATACATTTGAATCTACCTAAGTTGATAATTACACCACCACAATCATCCCAGTGAAAGTAAAAATTGAAGGAGAATCAAATACATGTACAGTATTAATATAGTCTTAACCCCAGTAGCTGTTTGGCGAAGGACGTAAGTGATAAAATGCACTTAATGTTGGATACTGTTTTGCTGCTAGGAATTTGTTAGTATTCACAATGACAAAATTGAGTGAAAATTGTGCTCACTAGTGAAAATATTCTCTTATGAAGTTAAAAGTAGTTTTACATAATGGCATTTAGTCTTAGCTAAACAATTCTAACAAAAATAACCTTACTCTCGTATTATTTAAAAAAAATGCATCTGCCTTGTTTTTCCCTGAAGGTGTATTTGCCCTGGGAGTATACGTCTTGTGACTGGTCCTTTTCGTAGAAAGATTAAAGTTATATCCTATACATGTACCATAAAATGTTTTAATGAGTAGATTAAAGTATTGTTATATATCATTAAACTAACACTGCTTCAGAACAGACTTCAATTGTAGTATTCTGTATTCAGTCTTAACATACAGTAAGGATGCGTACATGTATGTTAATTACATTTTCTAATAACATTTTTTGTTAAGGCTTTTATTATCATGTTTCTGCTTCAGTAGTGCGTTCAAGTTATAGTACACAGTACTAAGTATTTAAATCTGTTACACCTGTGTAGATCTTTAAACCCCTTTGTAGCTACCTGCTGTTGATAATTATTACCCTCTTGACTGAGCACATAAATCCAACTTAAGCCATAAAACATGCGTTCTGCTTCATTGTACTGTATGACCCGAAAATAAATTGGAATGTGGCTGGTTTCAGGGACAAAGCAAACTAGACAGAATATCTCTTTTTTTTTTGAAGTTAGAAACTATGAAGTTAAAAATATGTCACTATCAGGGCAGAACATCTCAATTGTGTGGATTTTTCTGATGTTACCCGGGTTTTCCCCCCTTACTACTGACCGTACTTAGGGCTTGACAACTTTCCTCTATTCAGAAGAGATTGGTATTCTGAGTGCCTTTGTCCAATATAGTGCTGTTGCTTTTTTTACTCAGTAATGAAAAGACTCATCATTATTGATGTGAAATGGAGCATTTGTAAACACTGACCTCACAATGAATGGATCATCTTAGTTTCTTCGCAGATACTGTTTTTGGAGCAGACATTTGTAATTGAATGGATATACTACTACTCTTTGTATTCAATTTCACTCTGATGATTGTAAATCTAGTTTGGTTGGCAAGGTTAGCTTGGCTGATTAGTGACAACAGATGTCTTAAAATTTAATGTCACACATTTTATCTAAATAAGTTTTAAGAATGCCAATCTAGATTACACAATTTTAATCTTAAATTTTCTGTGGTTTGAATTCATATCTTGGAAATATAAAATATAGCTTCATTAATAAAAATATATCAGTTACATGTGTAATGTACCGGTATTGATAGTTGAATCAGTTCTTAGTGTTCACTTTTATTGTTGGACATATTTTATATGTTTATCGATGTTTCACAAGGCAAAAGTCAAAAAACCAAAGGTCATAATGGCTATAATAGTCTAACACTTCACCTGATGAAACACTTGCACATAAAATTCTATTGGATGCATGATTTTAAACATTGTCCGAATCGCATGGTCCTGTGTCTTCGACCTATAGGCCTCTACACCATACCGTGCGGGATCGCATAGGCTAATTGCGTATCTTAAGCAGTGAGATTTGATCGGGCGCATCTCAAAACAAGGCGCCTGATCAGCTTGGACGTACCAAATTATAAAACAAAATTCCTCTTCCTGTTTTTGTCGCTATGAAGACATCCTTCCAACACAAAACTGCGTTGATTGCCTGTACCTGATGAGGCTTGAGAGCACCAACACCGAAAACTTTTGCAATTTTATCATCACAAATATCACGATTCATGGGCACCGCCATTTTGTTTAATATGAAACGCCAAAGAGGGATTTGTAACAAGCAAACTGAATGGACAATGATTAGCCGCAATTGACTACTGGGGGCGCTGTTAGAATACGCATATTTGATGGTTATTCTGCCAACGTCTGTTTAGAGGCTTGGCCAAATAAACTTAGACCTTGGCTAGCGAAGATGGATTTTAAAAGAGAAAATGTGATGTGCATGTATACCGATATGATTTATTCTAACAGGTGTTTAATTAAATGTTATATTAAAATAAATGCATGCATGAATACAACATATGGAGATTATATGAAGACAGATGCTCTGTGTGGAACCATGTTGCATATGATGAGAAATTGCATAAAAAGATATTATATGCATTACTTTCACGAAAAAAAATCACATGGTCGTTATTTTCCAATTTCAGACAATTTGAGTTGTACAACTTTTTACCATGCTTTCTTAATACCTACCTGATTTATTTTTGGTTTACAGGCCTAAATTGAGGTTTCGTAGTCCTGAGAAAACAGAAGAGTGGTTAGCCAGCAGGTAAGAAATTGATTTTGAAAAAAATTATAAAAAAAATATTTAAACCTAGGTTTTATGAATGCATGGTGTCCTTTCCTGGCTAATTATGGTGGTAAACGTTAATGTGTTTGCACTCTTTATTCTTGTTTGCACTCTTTATTTATTAGTATGTAAGACAGCAACATTTTTATCATCTGGCAAATAACACCTTGAACTTGTATACAATATAATTATGTTTTAGCACTATTAAATAAATTAAACAATAAGTATTTAAACAATAAGTGATTTCAATTGTGAATTTACCATTGTAGTATAGTACAGTTCTTCTTTTATTGACTCAAAATAAAGTATTGCTGTTAGGCATGAAGTGCAGTCTTTCTACTTTATAACCTTGTCTACTTTCTCGTTGTAAAAGTCATTTGTATAGTTCATTATACATGGTTGTTTTGTAAGCATTCAAGCATATCTTTCATGTAGGTAGGCATCACAACAAGCAGTGCAATGTTGAATCTTTACCTAGTAATTGTCATCAGAATAAATGGTTCCTGTCAAGGTTTTTTAAGCACAGTATAATTGGCGATCCGCTCCACTAGGATTGCCCTTATAATCACTTTTGTGGCTGTGTGTGTGTGTGTGTGTGTGAGTGATTTCCAGTGTTTTCACGTATTATTACTTCTGTGAATTTTTTGGCTTGGCCGATTTCTCTCAAACTTGGCAGGTAATAGCTACAGCCAAAAAACTGTTTTTGGGATAGCTTCGCGCCAAATGTGTCTCCTCTTAATACAAATTTGGAATAAAACAACCCTGACATAGCTCATTCTACTAAGCTTGAGTAGGGGCACAGTCACTATTTGAATTTTTTTTCATTACCGAGAAATTTGAAACTGTTCACCAGGAATGGTTTTTTAACTTTTCTGTAATTTTCTTGGCTGAGCCGATTTTGTTCGAACTTGGCAGGCTAGTCACACCTTCACTCTAGTTAGGTTGTAAAATCTGAAAACAAATTCTGGCTCACCGTTTCTATGGCAACAGCAAAATTGTTTTTAATACATTCGTGCCAAATGTATCTCATTCTACATTTCTACGATTAAAAAGCACAGTCGTAGCTCATTCTACTCAGCTTGAGTGTTGGCATAAATTTACTGTTTTTTTATGTCTATTTTCATTACAGAGAAAAGTTGGGGTAACTTTTCACCAGCAACGGCTTTTAACTGCTCTGTGATTTTTTTTGGCTTAGCTGATTTTGTCCATACTTGACAGACAGGTCATCTGTCACTAATTGAAAACAGCCAAAAACTGATTTTTGAATACTTTCGCCCCAAATTTATTACCTCCGGTCTAAATGATCATGCTTTTTATTTTGGCTACATTGGGCACAGGTAAGAGATCACCAGCGCCGACATTGTTACACTGTATCAACGTAATCCCAACGCAACTTTGAACTTTAAATGAACTGTAAATGCTGGTTCAAATCTAGAAAATACTATTGCAAAACAGTTGGAAATAATAAATTTAGCAACAAAATACGTCCTAACAATAAAATTAAGTAACTTCTAAAGATGTTTTTTTTTGCAAACTTTGTATACATGATTCGGTTTTAGTTATAAACCAACGTTATCTTCACGTTCATGTCCTACCATGGAAACAGCCAAAAACATGTTGCTTGTTTTTTGAGTGGAGCTGATCGCCAACCAATGTAAATTAGTCACCATCTTCTGTGAGTGTGTGTGTGTGTGTGTGAGTAGGTGGGTAAGTGGGGGTTTTCTTGCATAGCAGTCAGCTTTCGTTCAGATAATTTGTGGTTATTTTGTTGAATACTAAGTATTTCATATATATATATTCTCTTTCAGGAAAAAGACTGATTATACATACTCAAATAGGTTAGTAAATTTGTTTTTGTTTTCGATGTATTTTCTTTATTGGATGTAATGCTTTTCATTACTTTGTAATATTCAAAAACTAAACAGACCATTTTGAATTGTTACAGAGTAACCTTCACTGTTAGATGTGAATTGATCTATAGACATATACTGCATTACTAATGTTATACAATTTTGTTGGCCATTACAGTGTCAGCTACTCCGAACAACTAAGTCATTCGGAAGCATCAGATAGTGAATACGAACTCCCAATTATGTCAAGGAGGGCGCTAGGAGATGTGACTCGATTATCCACATTATCAACTAACACATCAGCAACGAAACATAGTTCTAAGAAGTCACGTTCCAGGCAAACAGTTGCTTTAACTCCCAATACCTCAGATTTGTATAATGATTCCGGTGTCATGACGAGGTCAAGATCACGTTCATCAAGGTCGGGTACAAGTAGTGTGTATCAGGAGAATTTTATGAATAGGACTCGAGATAGGCTTACATCCACACCATTGAAAAGCAGTCCTGTATCACGAACCATGACGTACATTACAGAAGAACAAAGTCTTGCAAGTCAAACAATTCCTCATCTCTATGGTAAGAACCTAGTTACCGGTAAATTGTTCAATATACTACAGCATATTGGAGGTTTTGCTGTCAAAAGTTGACATTGTCTGATGACTTAGACCCAATATCTATTTTATCTGAGCAGTTGTCTCACTATAACTGACTAGACTTATTCTGAATATCAACTAAACTTATTCTGAATATGAAATTCATCTTGTTTGTTTGTAATTTAAATACACAATTTGTCTCTATTACAAGATGGACAATATTAATGATAATTGTATTCTCATGACAAGACATGTAATCAATGACACAACAAATTAAGTAATTTCATTGAGGTGGCCAACTGACAGCTAAGTTTGGTTTCTATGATTGGTAAAAAATATCTAGGTAAGCCATCGTGCAGGATACTTATCTCTTAAAATTCAGCGCATAAATCATAAGCTAACCCAACCATCACTCGGAGAACAAGGTTGATATGGTCTTTTTAAATTGCTTTTCATACCCATGTTTATTGGCTCACAAAAGGAACAATTGTTTTGTTCAACCACAGTAAATTATGTAAAAGTACAATTTGCATGTATCCGCCCAGTCACCTGTACATCTAATCATGCATTGTGATATGCCTGCTTGATGTATGTGGTTAACTTCTCTCTGTAGTGTGTGAGAACGCCCACACATTATAAAGAGAAGGGTGTGGCAAATTATTGCTAACAATACAATAACATTTCTGTATTTAAAGTACCACAGATTAGTAATAATGTAAAATGTAACATGGAATCAATATAATGATGTGAAAAATGCACTGTTTTAGTTTATTCTATCTTTTATTGCCATGTACAATCACATGTACAGTATGTAATCTTGCCAGTCAAGCATGTCCACATGCACCCATCCATGTTTTGATGCTACCTGTCAGGTGACTGTGGGCTAATGCACAGCTGATTTAAGGACAAGGTGTGGTACTTTACATACCGCTTACAAATACAGTCGACTTTCTGCCAGCTCTCAAGTGTTCAATCAGTGAAACACTGACACTAATGCTGTGACTTGTGAAACAACTCATTGTTGTTCTTCCATACTGACACACTGTGACTTTAAGAGTGCGTGTGTAAGTGATCCTTAGGCCATTCTAGGACACTTAAAGCAAGCTGTTCCACAACATCATTAGCCATCCCAGCTGAAATACCATGAAAAACTATTCCGTGAACAAGTGAGTTAATAGTGCAGAACAGTGAATTCTGAAATCCATGGAACACAATCTAAACTTGTAGTACATGTTGTTTATTTAATGTTGTATTTGTGTTTATTCAAACATAATCATTGCATACATGTATAATGTAGCTTCTACAATCCAATAATGCATGTTGTCTGGTTGCTGTGCCACAACTGTTGAAGCTTTAAAAATCCTAACTAACTTCCCACAGTCTGTACAGTACACCCACACTTACCATGCATATACTCAATCTATTTAAACATGCCTTTCATGTACTCATTGTTAGAAAAAAATACAGCTGCAAAAAATTGCACTAGTCTGATCTTGCGGTCTAGTGAATTTGTCTGTTGAACGTTTCATTGGAGAACTTAAATGATATGATGGTCGAGGTGTTATTCATTTACTATAATACTTTCCATGGGGTTTTCATTCACAATGTACAATGCAGTGCAGATTAAATCTTTCCCTTGTGTTTTGGATGTAATTTAGGAAACATCAAATGTTATGTAATATCAAGAGTCCTGTGCTTTTGCTTTGTAGGGCTTGATGGGGAAGATGAGACCACTGACTTTCCAGGTAGTTGCATCCTCTTATGTCATATTTATTATCACTTTTTATGTATGAATAATTTTTCCCATGTTTTATGTTTCTCTACCATGGTATACAACATTTCTTAAAAAATAAATCCTTGACAATATAGGCTTTTTCTAACATTGATAGTTATATGAAAACTTAAAAAACCCTTTTAGTAGTTTGTATGGGGCAAAAATGTTTTGTGATATGAATCCATTTGATATGGGTTTTTGGTCCATCCTATATTACATCTCACTGTGGAGTTGGACACTTTATGCATGTGATAATCAAACATTTTATATTTATTCATTTAGTCAAAAATGTTTCTTTTTCAGAATCTGAAATTAGCTGTATCACCCACACAGATTATACAAAGCAAAGAACGTCATCATCATCATCTTCTGCCTCCTCCTCATCATCATCCAGTATATTTACATTCATCACAACATGGTTGATGCAGTATACAGTCATTTCCACAACAGGTAAAGGTTGTATAAATTCACACTGCCGCCCATATGACACACCAGCATTTTGCTGGACTATTGTGTAAAGTTATTGTTGTTTTGCACTATTTTAATATGAATAATAGACTTTGCATTATCCAATGAAAAGCTGGTCTGAAGGCTTTTCAGTTTGTATTCTAATCTGTGAAACCGCCTACTTAAATATGCACAACTGCGTTCACCTTGGTGCAGTTACTGATGTCCTCCATAATTCGCATTGAATGTTTTACACATGATGTAAGAACTTACATGTACTATCATTCCAATTTGATACATCATCTTAAACAAAGTACAGAGTTTTTACTGATTTTGACAAGTAATGTTCAATTTACTTTTGACTGTTTTAATTAATTTATGCTCTTTCCAATCAATCTCAAAATTTATGATGAATTGATGTAAACAAACCTTACTGGTATACAGTATTTGTATGCATCTCAGATATCATGCACAGCATTGTGCGAAACTTTTATTTTCAAAATAATATTTTATATTAAATTGATGAATCTTTCATTTAAATATTTATTTGGATTATTAATATACAAATATTTTTAATATCTCATACTAATTTTTTTTTTTTACCTTTCTGTGTAGTCTCAGTTTTTCAAAAATCAATTCAGCCCACCATATGGAGGTTATTGTGGACTTCAAGTAGTCTCTTGTATAGATTAGTTACATTAAACTTATTGGGAGATGTCTGGCTTCTTACAATAACACGGTATGTATTGAAGTATTAATATTTTTATTGTAGTACAATGTACTAATTTATTTGTAATGTGTGTGTGTGAATTCCGCTTGACAAACACTAAAGGCCCCGTCACACCATAATGTTTTGGTCAGCGTTCTCTGAACGTTCCAATCGTTCAATTTCCGAGCATTCTGGAACAAGGTAGACACATCCAGCGTTCGATTAACGAGTGCCTAAACGTATGACTAGCGTGTTCCTAACGCACGAGGAGTGTGTAATGAGCGATCAAGTAAGATACCCCTGGAAATCATTTACGTGTGCTAACGTGTCACTAGCGTGCGACGAACGACTTTTAAACGTTAAGTGAGCGTGTTGAGCATGTATCTAACGTTAGGTCGTTAATTTGACGTTAGTCGCACGCTTTATGTGCGCTAGGGGTACATTCAGCGGTCCTTGACAGGTCGCTAGTGAGTTGTTCACTGCAAAGCGAGCGATTGGTAACAACTAAGTAATGCTAGAGCAACGACTGACTAACGTTTGTCGAACGTTAGCAAAACGATCGAAGAACGTTATTTAACGTTTAACAGCGTTTAAAAATAAACGTTGAAGAACGCTGGTCTCAAATGAGAACTTTTGTGCATGTTAAAAATTTTTTTGGGGGATCAGCGTTCTCCACCGATTCCCGACGATCAGCAACGATTACCGACGTTCACTAGCGTTCTCACGGCGCTCTTCTTGCGCTGTCCCAGCGACTTTGGGCGACTACCAACGTTTCCTCAAACTCCAGAGAACGCTAGCCAGAACGTCATGGTGTGACGGGCCCATTACTTATGTAATAGAACTCATAAAATTAATTCTTATGCTTAATAATACAACCCAGACATAATTAACACCTCAAACTGAGATGTTATATTTGGGATGTATGAAACCTGAGTTGTACATGTATGATATAGAAGAGTGTATATTTTAGAATCAGTTCAATATTACGTAAATCACTATTAAAGTTAGTAATGATGCATTTCACGGCTGATCACATGGTTAGAGTTTACTTAGATTTCTCTGCTAGTCACAGGAATGTATGCGACATTCAATATGTTTGATCTTTGACCCTTGCAATGATATTAATGATGTATTACATTATTGATCTACAATATTACAATTCATCAAGGATGTAGATAAGTCAATGTGATCAGACTGCTGTTTCCAAATCAATATTTTCCTATAAAATGCATGCATAGATTGACTCTTACATACTGATGTGGTTCCCCAGTTACAATTATAGATGTGATGGCCATCATCAACCCACATAGTTCTGCAAAGAGGTATTATTTCATTAAGTTTTCAATTTCTCTTTCCAGAAATATAACCCAACGTGCAATAGCAGTTATCAGTACATTTATATCTAGTGTATTACATAACAGTAGTAGTCAAAGTAGTAGTAGTGTTGGTGCCTATAGTGGTAATGCAGCAAGTCAGTGGGAGAGTACAGACATGCAAAATAGTAAAGCAGCAAGTCATTCAGAGAGAACAGACATGCGTAGTAGGAGTGCAGCAAATATGGAAGGTAGTCATGGCAAGCATAATAATAGATATCATGACAAAGAAACGGATGAACTCATCAAAACAACTACTACTACAGTTGTAACTACAGTAGAAGAAAAAGATGACAGAGGAGGTTGTCCATGCTTGCTACCATGTTTGTTACTTTTATTTTTATTGTTAGGACGTAAGTATCGTGTATATATTTTTGGGATTTGTTTTGGAATACACAAGTTGCATACACTCTCAATGATCATATACAGTACCACTGTCATTTTTTTTATCTATCAATAAACTAACTTCAAAGATGAATACTGCATACATTTTAACTTCATAAGAAACAATATTGAGTGCCTGGGAAAATTCAGTTGTTTCTGTTGGATGGAGCTAATCTGTCTGTTGGCGTCTTAAAAACCACAAGTCTTTTTATACTTGGTATATTCCATTTGTTCATTTTGGGATGATATCTTTAATTTCTAATTTTGAATGAATCTCGGCCAGTGGAATTGGCCTTTCTGTTGAGTCTGTGGCACACTCGTCCAGGGAGTAGGGGGACGACTCTTTTGGTGTTTAGCCTAAAATAGGATTTGAACTTTGGTCTATTGATTACGAGTCTAATGAAACAACCAGTTAACAATCCTGATTTTTACTTTTCAGCCTTATATTATTTATGTACTAGTGGTATAGTGCCGTTACCATTTCTTGCCAAGTCTACAAGCATTTTATCAAAAGACAAAGACTCTGAATTAGTGAGTAAAAATAACTAATATCACTTTCACACTCAGTGTTCCCATTTACCTCCTGCAGAGGGTATTTTACCTGCAACTTTGATTTTGCACCCTCATATTACAAATGAAAGGGTGCAGAAAACCCCTCAATTTTAAAAATCATTCGGAATAATAAAGTAAATTTACCAAATGCAGTTCATAATTAACCCTTGCTTGTTTCTGGTCCCCCTTATTTTATAAATGAGAGGGTATAGAAACCCCCACTTTAAAAACTTGGTGGGAATACTGATGTCACTTTCTGAAAATGCTTCTGCCTTGTATTATTATACAGTTCAAGCACTATGTTAGTGATGAATGGTAGAAGATGCTCCCTCCTATCATTTCTTGATGCAGTCGATGTAGTCCAGGACAAGTAAAATTATCATTTTAAAATTATTATTTTATAACCTGGTTTATAACCTGCATCATTTATTTACAGAGAATGGCGAGCGATCACTTTTGTGACACCAATCGTGGAGCTGAAAGCAACCTGAATATTTACTTATCCCCTAAATGCAGAAAGTATGTTAGGCATACAAATAAACAATTGAAAACCAATATGCATGTGATAATAATATTATTTCCTAATATTTTGTTTTTGTTTAGTTGTATATGGCTGTTGCATCACTTGTCCTTTCCCTAAATCAATGCAGAAAAATATTAGGGAATAATATACAACTATATAGGCAACAAACATTTCAGACAAGCGAGTTACAGCAATTCCAGGCACTGATTTGACGCTAAAGTAGTGCTAGATGTTGATAACTTACTACAATAGGTTACACACTTTGTTTTCAAATTTACAGATGTTGTTACAAATAATGCAGACAGCATGTCTGCAATTTGAAACGCGCCGGAAGAAAGCTCCGCTCATAAAAGTGGCTGTACATTAGTTTTGAATTTCTCCTCCAATAAACGATTGAGGCTCTCAACTTAGTTTCGTACTTCAATTTGCGTCACATGTTATTTCAGTGAGAGGGGCGCATAAAGTGGTGGCACTGTAAAGAACATTATTTTACAGAACCAGCTGACCGACTGATCATGACAGAATTATTGATCAAAGTGCATTATTCCTACTATGGAAATATACGTATCACGCCTGCAACAAATGTCCTATGAAGACTTCATCCACTATATCAATAATGAAATTGAATACATAGAAGGGGTGTTATTCGATTATTAGTTCTCGACGATGAGAACCAAAAGGTTGATGTGCCACCAAATAATCGCTTTAAAAAGCTTATCACTGGCAACACACGATCACACGTCCGGGGAGGGTTGCCGCCGTAGCCCGCACACAAGTAAATGTGCAGTCGCAATGTTTTATAATATTCGACATAGTCTATATATAACGTTGTCAGTTTCCGCGCAGGATACTCTTGATGGTAACAAACCGTTTGACGATACTATAAAATTCAAGCTGTCTGCTTTGAAACACCATTTCGATCTCCAATCTCAGCAAATGACAGTCCACGAAAATACAAATCGACAACTCTTGTTCTCACTTCAACTGGTTTTTTGACTCCTTGCTTTTCCATCGTGGTGCTTATTAAAACAACTTGGACAAATGCCGATTTGTAGACACGCAATCGACACGATGATCGACCAAAAGTGAATTAAAGACAGACACGCCTCAAAGTCTAGTTGTACCTGACTTTGTAGCAAAAATAGAAAACATTGTGGGCAATATCTGTCAATCATTCGTCTGATTTGCAGCCGATGTTTATATTTCTAGTTACAACTTGTATAAATTTGAAAACAAAGTGTGTAACCTATTGTAGTAAGTTATCAACATCTAGCACTACTTCAGCGTCAAATCAGTGCCTGGAATTGCTGTAACTGTGAACGAAAAAGCAATCCAACCAGCAGTATTGTAATATAGCTCACTGTTTTTCTAAGAAAGTAGCAATATGGATATCAGCTTAGCATTACAAACTTTTATATTTGAACAAGCAATACTGCTGTTTTATTTGCAAAGCTATAGTTGGGCTGCTTTTTTGTTTACAGTAAAACATATCAAACCCTGAAAAAAACGTACAATATATTACGATTTTCAAAACAACATTATCTAGTTAGAAAGTTGCATTTTAAAAGCAAATAGTACAATGCTACAACCGTATCATAGTTGGTCATTTAGTATAAGTATACACCACACTACAATGTATCTTATATCATTGAAATGTTTCCACAGTTTTCTTCACCAAAGTCGGTAACATTTTTAATACGAGAAGAACTTAATAAATTTGATGAAAAGATGTTATCACAGACAGAAGAGAAAGAAAAAGTCCCACCAATAGTAGAAGGTTGCAGTGACTGTATGGGTAGAAGGGAAGTCATAGAGCTAATAAATTCAGCTATTTCAAAACAGTTTGATGTCTTCCAAGATAAGTTTGTTATGTACAGTGAACATCAGTTACAGAAGGTAAATTTGGTAATTTTTCTGTTAATTGTGTATTTAAAATACAAAACTCCATTCAGCTCTATTTAGAATGTGCCTGTTCCAAAGAACAGGAGCTCTACATGAGTGTAACATTGATACACATCTATAGAACATAAAAATGGTAGTGATTATGGAGATCACAGGCTTATGGAGGATGGCTTATGGGTAAATCCTAAATACAGCCATTATTTTGGCCAGTTGTCCCATTTTACTTAACATGGGTCTGCTTTGACCAATGATGACTTTCCATAGTACATTCCATTTCGTTTGTTTGTTTTCATAGGTAGAGAGGCTGAAAACAGATTATGAAAATCAGATAGCGGATCTGCAGAATAAACTCAACTCGTACAACGTATATGCTGTAGACAGAAATGATCTAGCAATAGGAGCTATTACCAGATTAGAATCCGAGATAACATCTTTGAAAAATGACATGCGAACCATAATGTTTATTGCGCCAGTTGGTGAAGAAGATAATGTGAACATTAAGGAGTATATGGTGGAAAACATTAAAAAGCTGGATTCAGATGTAATGAGTCTTGATGTACAGCTGACCCAGCTTAAGGAAAATCTCAGGGATCTGAATGAAATGCATGCAAAGGAATCAAACAAGGTTTATTCCAGCCACGAGAACATTAAGGAAATGCTACAACAACATAAAGAGAGTATCACTGCCAATATCACCAAGCTCACCTTGTATCTTGAAGTCCTGGATAGCAGTGTGAGTCAGCTGAAACAGGATTTAAATGATCTGCATGATTCTGATGACAGTGATAAAACTAAGATCAGTAGCATTGCCACAAACATGAATAACATTGAAATTGAAATCACTGAACTCCGAGAAAATGTGAGAGTGTTATATGGACATCAGACAATTACAAGTAACCAACAGAGTTCACGGCCTGAGGAGATCATCATTCTCAAAGGTGATGTGAGTAATCTGAAGGATGAAGTGTCCAGGTTACAGTCAAAGTATACTGAGGCTGTTGCATACACCTACAGTAATCAACAAACTCTTGTAGTTGTCCAAGATACAACTAGTAAATTATCAACAGATGTTGAAGGTGTTGTGGGTGAATTAGATAGACTTAAAGTAGAGTTAGCTGGAATTCAGGGTCAAGATGCAATTTCTGTTGAAATAGCAATGGAGCTAAATAAACTACAGTCGCAGATAAATGGACTGGACAGCTTAGTGAGTATCTTGCAGGGTAGTGTTGACAGTCTACAGGACAATCAGGGAAGCAATGCTGAGAGCACTCGGCAGGTTGTTGACAAATTAAACCATTTAGAGAATGAACTCACTGTCTTTAAAGTAGAACTCAGGAATTTACAGCATGATTCACGTACTGCAAACCCTTCAAACAGGGATTCAGAGCCTATGCATACCAGTCAGCACATTCTCCAGCAGGTCAACGACCTGGAAGTCAACATCACGTCATTGAAAGTAGAGATGAGAAACTTTATTGTCCAGCAGGACACACACAAAGGTTTAGCTGATGATGTTGAACAGTTGACAACTGTGCACAACAGCTTGCAGAGTAAAGTAACTGATTTAGAGAGGAAGACTGCAGTTTTACAGGCAGAGTTACAGCAGTATGTAAGGGACATTGTCACTGCTGAGTTAGGGACTCTAAGCACAACAACCGCTGATGAGATCAGTAGATATCAGTCGTATGTTAGCAAGTTGGAATCAGAAATCACTGCTATTAGGACGAATGTAAATAGCATAATTGGAGTGCATAAAAACATGACTAATGTAGATTACGTGCATAAATTTGAATTGCTGATTCAGGGATTGCAGGAGGATATTCAAAATATCAGAGCCTCGCAGCGACCTGTTACGGGTCAACTCAGCATGAATATAAATAATGTAAATAAACTAAAGTCAGATATGGCAAAGATGGAAGCAACAATCAATTCCCTCAGAAGTGATTTCCTTGTGTTGCAGGAAAGTCAAGCTGCGTATATATCCTTGGATAAGTTAGAAGAGTTTAAAACCAGTTTTGCAGATGTGAATGTTCTCATAATGGATCTAAAAACTGATATCAGTAATGTAAGAGGAGAGGGTGATAGTTACAAAATTGATGTGATTAACAGTATGAACAAACTGCAAGCAGAAATTACAAAACTGAAGAGTGATTTGAGGACAGCAGAAATCACTAACGTTGAGGGCATTGAGTTACAGGATGGCTTCTCGGGTGCGGGTGTTATGAGGAGCATCAGCCACTTACAGGAGGAGCTAGATACTATCAAAATTGAAATTAGAAATCTGCAATTGATGCAGAATGAGAGTATGATTATTGAGAAGGTCAGTAAACTGGAATCTGTGCTAGTTTTGTTGAGTAGTGATGTGACCAGCTTTGGTGGCAGAATTGATACTATAGAGTCCGCTATTGAGCTGAATGAATCTGAAGAGCCAGATCTTATCAGGCGTTTAAGAAGTGATTTAGATGCTATTGTAACTGATATAAAGGAACTGCAGCGTGAACTGAAGCTCCTCCATTCAGAAAGTTCAGCTGAGATGTTTGAATCCATGCAAAGTGAAATTCTGAATCTTAAATCTGCTGTTGCAGTTTTACAAGATGGAAGAGAATACGCGATGTCATCATTATCGGTTAATGAGGATATTGTCAATTTGAAGGGGGCTATTACGCAGCTACAGACAGGTACAGATTTAACTGCCTTAACGAACCTCCAGACTGAGATTACGTCTTTAAAAACTGATATATTTGAGTTGCAAGGGTTCATTAATGCAGGTACTGACACTAAACTTGATATGCAGTCACTGTTCAGCAGATTGGATTCAGTGGAAACAAATATCAACGTTATTCGAGCAACCAACTCTGAACATGAATCATCCAGTGTACAAAGCAGTGGTTTGTTCAGTCAGCTGAATAGCGAGATTGCATCTTTGAAGTTAAGAAGCGATGCTGTCAAACAACTTCAACAAGATGTTGCTGTTCTGAAAGCCGACCAACGTATCAGTGATATCCAGACTGATGTGTCGTTCTTGAAAACTGAATTTGCTTCTATACATCATTTACAAGATGACATGACTTCACATAACATGATTTTTAGTCAGCTGCAGAGAGATATGGCTTCTGTGAAAGTAGACAGGGATGTAATTAGTGAACTGCAAAGTGAGGTTGCATCATTAAAGCAAGAACTGCTCCTGCTATTAGCCAGGACTCAATCGGAGTATTGGATGACTAATTCTGAACATTCAAGAACTAGTACTGAGAACAGTGTTCTCATAATGAGTGATATCAGTGGTTTGGAACGTGAAATATCATCTATCAAGTCGGATCTGGCTAGTTTAAATCTAAAAGCCTCTTTTGCATTGCAGCAAGACCTTGACAGTATTTCACGACGAGTTAGAAATGTAGAAAGTGACATTGTTTCCCTCAAGTCAGAAGTCATCACTGTCAAGAGTTCATCACAAGCTGCTGATGCTGACTTATCAAGTTTTACCCTGCGTGTACAAAAACTGAATTCTGATTTGAACTCTATGAGAATAGATGTTGACACATTAATGCATTCTATGAAAGACACTACTACTACTAGATTGCAGGAGGCAGAGGCTGCAATACTGGCACTGAAGATGAGCAGAAGTGCTGATGCATCTAGTGTCGCTGATGATGGTGATATGGTAAATATCATGGCTGATGGCACTACAGTGAAGGTCAAAAAAGAAACTATTCTCAATACTGCAGAGTAAGTAGTGGTGGATTTATCTACATTTCATATTATCTACGGTAGTCTGTCTCATTGATTACTGTGATCTACTAGTGAATTAAAGATGGATGACTGTTGTACTGACTTATGTCAGTATGCATGGTTTGAACCTTAATGTTCTAAAGACACTCAATTTCAAGGCCAAAATTTTTTTGAGTGTCTTTACCTAATTGAAACTGTTAGGGAAATATCTCACCAAGTCGGTCTGGTGCGTCATCTGAGCATTGTTAGTGAAATTGGAATCCCTGAGTCATCTGACAATTGACCTATAGAGGGCACAGTGTTACTACATGCATGTTCCTTTGTTACCTATGCTCTTTAAATTATCAGACATGCATTCAACCACAAATGTGCAGATTTCTAAATAATGTTTGGCCAATTTGGGAATACAAAAATGCCCCAGGGCATCTTAGTTTTACTTTGGCATCTTTGGCAAGCATACACATATATTTTTTTTATAAATATTAACAGTGGTGGAGGAGGTTGGTTTTCTACTGAGGATGGTGGCCAGTTTGCTAATGATCTAAAAAATATTAAAGTTGATGTGAATACTCTCAAGGAGAAACATATACAGATACTTAAAGAGCTACATAAATGCTGCAGAAATGAAACCTTTTTTACTATTTTGGTGAGTACATAACTTCTAGTGTTGTCAGTTGATAATTTAATTGTCCCGTCACCTGCGCACGAGTCAGATGGCCATAGTGTGTCATTGTTTACAAACAAGCGTCTACCCATAAGCCTTTGCATTTTTATAGTGTGTTATCATCACTTGGGACTCAATTCCTGCGGATGCACAGGTGAAGACCCTCGCGCTTTAAGTGCTGGAGCACCATCGTTGTTGCACTGTTGTGTTTTCAATACGAGTTCCATGCGAATTGTTTATTTACATGAAATGGAATTCTAATGTTGATTTTGGGATAAGTTTGGCTCTTTAAAACTATTCCATATAAATATTATATGTAATAAAAATGCCTACCAATCCTATAAATGTAATTATTGTCATCTGGCAATGTGTATCTTACTCAGTCCTCTCTAAAGACTGAATACTATCTTGATATTAAAACTGGAGACTTTTCTCATTCCACTTCTTTGCTTCATTAGACAAATTTTAGTTTGTTTATGGAATATATACATTGTTTTTGCTGTTTGAATCATTCATTAATTTGTATTAATTTTTGCCAATTGCAGATAAAAGACAATATTGCTGATATCCTCAATCAGGTAAATTGAAATTAATTGTTAATAAATATATAAATAAACTGATCACAAAAATCCTCCTGTCCTGGGAATATTGTAGTGGGTTTGTTTTGACTTTGACACTTTCTATTCAAACAAGACAACACTCATGGACGCAAGCATTTTCAGTGATGCGCATAACTTGAATGCAGTGATTCAAACACAGACTAGATAAAACCATTCTCAAATGGGATTGATGGATATTGAATGAAAGAATTGCATTGTACATTTTAATTATTATTCGATCACAACCATACAAATTCATTTTAAATTCAAGCCTTCTGTCAAATCTAGTTGACTTTTTATATGCAAATAAGTATTTTTACTTCCCAACATTGAAAGCAAAGTCATAAGAAACCCCACACTGCACCACTAGCAATGTTCCCAGGAATATTGATAGTTGTTTTTTCTAATCCTTAAATTTTGACGCTTGTTGTGATAACTACATGGTTTTTTCCTTCTCCCTTCCTTCTTTTCACCAGTTATGGTAATTTTTAGTTCCTACTCACTGAAGCAATGTTGAACAGACGTGACCCTAGTTCAATTTCCTTTACTTTAATAGCAAAAACAAGGAAGTGTTTTGATTTAGTTAATGAACAGACAAGATGTACAGACTTTGCAGATTTATGACATAACAATCAGTTGTAGAGGGTGCTGTTTCGCTACATGTATTGTTTCCTTATAAGGTACTGGAGGAAGATGACAAGATAGGTGGATGGTTCCATGATCACTTTGTCACAAGAGATGAATACAGAACTGATATACAAGAGCTAAGAGTCAGATTGCAAGAACTAATTGTCATGAGAAGTAAATATTACAAGAAAACAGTAAATATCAATCAGACAGATTCACATCATGCATCATTTGTTGGTGATATTTCCATCACAGAAGATGTAAGTACCGGGTAGTATGTTGTGTCTGTCTTGTTAAAATGATAATTATAGATGTGAGAAAATGAAAACAAAAATATAATTACATTAATATCCTAGCTGTGCTAAATTATATGTGAGCCACTGACAGGCACACTATTAAATGTAGAATCAACTTTAAATCCAATATATATGTATTGCGTGTTTCATCTGCCATCATACCACCATTTTAGCTTGTTTATGTCCATGAATTTTTTTCTGCAAATTTTATGTCAATATGTTATGAATGTTCAGAAACCAATGTAGCAGTACTACTCTACCGTCAGACATGTGATATATATAACGCAGTGTCTGAATATGAACAATGGTACGGTATCACTGTATTTTGTCTGTAATTTCAGAGAATTCGTGATATTGTAAATGATGCACTCAATATGTATAGTGCTGATAAGATAGGAATGGTAGACTATGCTTTAGAGTCAGCTGGTGGCAGTGTTATTAGCACAAGATGTTCTGAAACCCATGAATCCAAGACGGCATTACTTAGTATATTTGGTATTCCACTATGGTATTCGGCAAATTCGGCTAGAACGGCTATTCAGGTTTAGTATTGCAATTGTTTTCTTGTGTTTTTTTAATTAAATATACTTAATACCCCTTATTTTCAGGGCTCAGAATTAGTAATAGCTGAATAGAGTATGACAAGTTCTATTATTGTCCTCAAATTTCTATAATATTGAAGCATTGGGAATGTGGTACAATAAACTACCTAGTTCATAATTTCCCCATAGTAAATACTTGTATGATTACACATTTTAAATTGTATGTCATTGATACATCATGTCATGTTCAATATGGGTGCTATGTGATGTAGACAGCCCATGTATAATTTGAATACGTGATCATGACGAGATATACAAATGTACATGTGCATAATCCTGGTCCAACCACTTACTATGTGAAGCTTAGGTTAGTATATGTAATACATCTGCCCCCTTTGAGATATCATGCCACCATACCTTATATTGAATTTACCTGAGTAGACCTTTATCAATACTGAAAAAATATGATGTAACATATATGTAACGTTATAGATGAACACAAGTATGTACCTGAATACTCGCACATCAGGAACTAGTACAAAATGTATCTTTACCGTAACTGTTTATTGTTGTTGTTTTCAGCCTGATGTACAGCCTGGTAATTGTTGGGCATTCAAAGGAACTGAAGGTTATTTAGTTATCCATTTATCAGGAGTTGTTAAACCTACCTCATTTTCATTGGAGCATATCCCAAAATCTTTGTCACCCAATGGAAATATTGACAGTGCACCCAAAAATTTTAGTGTTTGGGTAAGTATTGTACATCAGTAACTGTTTATTCAATAGTCAACACATATACTGTCAAAAGTATTATCACAATTGATGAATCATTGACATGATAGTCTATAACATGATTTGTGGGTGTTGAGCTTTTTTGAAGACATACAGTACATGTATATCATTCTTTCCATTCTAAGTGAACTGTACATATTCCCACTTGAACACCTTGTCATATTTGTCTCATCTGCTAGAAAAAATATATTTCTAATAGACATCTGTCATTACGTTTTAGCAGGCAATATCTTGGTCGATCATGAATAAAAACTAATATGCTATTGTTTAATAGTTATCGATGACACTTTCTGTTGTGCAGCACCTTGTAAGCTGAAATGTTAATCTTAATAAACACATACTTAGACACAGTATTTGTTGCCTGCGTGAGCTATTTTCCATTATTGCATTTCCATCTTATTTTGTTATAGGGTTTAGATGATGAACGTACACTAGATGGTGTTCATTTAGGTACATATATATATGATCAGGATGGTCCACCATTACAGTTCTTCATTGCTGAGGTTTGTGAATACTTTCACTAAATCTTTCTATGCCATGCATATTGTACTGAAGATTATCAAAGTATGGTAACTCAGAAGTGAACAAAACTCACATGATATCATTAACATCTGATTTAGAAACTTTGATTTAACTGCATGCATATTAGACAGCTTTAATTTTTGGAATTGTCACTTATAATATGGCTGCTGATTGTGGTTGTAACTACCAAGAAACATTTTTTATTGTGAATATGATCGTGTTGTAATGTGTTGTTACTCTTTCTTATTACAGAATGAAGATGCTGCTTCGTTTCCAATCGTTGAATTGAAAATCCACAGTAACCATGGTAACATAGAGTTCACTTGTCTATACAGGTTTAGGGTACATGGTGTTCTTCAGAAGAAATAGCAGACCTTGGAAGATAAATAATTTCATCCTTGTCTCTTCAGTTCTGACATAGTTGACATTTGTAGTCTTTATTTTTGGAACTCGGTACACCTAATACAATGTGCAATGATTGGTAAATATTTTCTAGATGTATTTCTATCATAGAAATGCTTGGAAACAAATCGCACACCATGACACTATATACTAGGAGCACATATTGTTCACATTGCGTCAATGAACATTTGCTGTCAAAAGGGTAATCTGTCTCAGTAAAAACACATGACTTATGTTCATATTGCAGCTAAGAAAAAGATTCTTTTGTCAGTCCTCAAAATAGATTGTGTGTGACTGATAAAGTGTGGCTAAACTTTCAGTCACATATTTTTTCAGTTAGTTATTTCAAACTGTTTAATGAAAAACGCCGTCTTTGCTTGTCTGTAACACATTTAACAATTGACCCACCTTAAAACTGGGTCTGCTCATTTGAATATATCCCATACATATATTTTGTCAATATTTACGATAACATCAAGATATAACATAGATTTATTTATTTAATGTATATTTCATATTTATTTAGTTTGTATTCTAGAATTAATATTTGTGTTAAACACAGAATATTTATTTTTGAAAACCTGCATACACTATCGGGGATAAATTGAAAAACTTCCATGATGCAAGACCCACCTGCTTTGATTTAATGTGGATGAATTTACCGTCCATCACCATTTTTGTATGTAGACATTGTGCAAAATAACAGAAAGAAGGCCATGAAGGAATATATTTTTTTTTACTTTCATTTTGACACAAACATCCAAATTTGTCATCTTTTAATTCCATGTTTATAACAGCATGGTATCCATAAATGATCCGTCATCCCACCAGCATCTAAATTTTAATATGCATGCATTTGATAACCCAGATAAGATGAGATCAAACATGCTAGCTATATATATATATATAAATTATGCTTACTACCATGCCAAACTCAGAGCTTTTTCTCAAAACAATGAGGCTGCAATTGAAGACATTCTGACATTTTAAATATTATTTGCCTTACCAAAACTCTGCTTTCTTTTATTGCCAAAAATCAAATGTGAATATATTTGCTACGAAACTTTCACAAAGATTCCAGTGCGATATTTATTAAATAGCTGTTTTTTTCTATGTTGTATATAATGTACTTTATAAACACCTGTTCTTACTTTTTTCAAATAAATATGTATAGTAAGACTATGTTAGTTGAACACTAAAATGCCTGAAAATAATGTTTCTTTTGTACAATGTTTTTTTTGTAATCATGTTTTGTAATGTTATTCCCCTGAAATACTGTACAACTTGCACTGTATGAATTGTTCAAATAAATAACTTGAAAACTTTGCTTCTTGTAATATTTTATTTCAAATTCTGTTCAAATATTCAACAATATTTCAGTTTCCAAATTCATTTAATTTCAGTTATAAATAGCAATGCAAATTTTGATGAAATTACTACTGCAAAAGTAATAAAATGTACAATAACAAGTGTTCTGTGAAAGGCAGTGAACAAAATATTGTTCCATGTTAATTTCTGATCTTGCACTGCCTTGTTTTTTTAATACCATAGTTTAAAATTGAAGACGTATAAATATAAAAACTACATGACAGTATGTGGATTAAAAATGGTGCTACGTCAAAATAATTGAAAAATTAAAACTCCTCAAAACTAATTTGAGTTTTTACTTGAAAGCTATTTGATGTGTCGTGTTACTTAGTTGTAAAAACATATCACCTTGAAATTTAACCAAGGCTTCACAAGTAGGTCTCGCTTCTGTTTATTCCTTGGCATCAATAATGCCACCAGTTGATATAGCAAAAGTTGCTTCATTTTCTGGCAGATCAGGACTGAAATAAAGTTAAAAACATGGTAACACTTCATTGTTTTGCAATCAGTGGTGAACTACAACATTCTGACAAAACCCAATCTGTGGAATGATACTGTCCATTTGCTGCAACAGATATAACTGTCATTTAAAAAAACTCAATTGTGGTGGTGGTGGTGGTTTGACTTTTTACCTGTCATAAATTTTTGCTATCCTCAATTCTCCACGCCCTTTTTTCAGACTGATGCGTACAGTGGAAGCATGGGCTAGAATGTGACCTCCAATTGGCTTCTTTGGGTCAGCTTGGAAACTAGTATCAAAGAAAAAAAGATTCATTTTGTATAGGACCTTGACCTTAATAATTTGCATGTGATTGAATATTGCAGTTAATAATTTGGGACTAAGTAGATGCACTTACGACATGGTAGCACCAGGATCAGATGTCATCTGGTTTGTGATGAATACTGCAACATTATATTCTGAAATAAATAAAAACATTCTATTATAGTAAATGTATAGCATGTCGATGATAAAATAAGTCTTTATATGGTGATCCAGTATACAATACATGCAACTGTTGTATGCGAATTTCTTCCCAATAGAGCAAACATGGTATCCTGTAGATATACAACATGTTCCATAATAGGGTAGATAGTTAGATTTGTGTTAATCAGCAGAAATTGTGGAAGACGCGTTTGCCATGCAGCTTGGTTATGCTTTGGACTACATCTTTATATTTTCAAACACATTTTACAGTATTAAACTTCACTCATCAATTTGGCTGGACTTGTTGGTTTAATTTCAGGCTCTGATTTGTGCTATGCTACTATTCAATAAGTTTACCTTCAGATATCTTTTGTAGTCTTGATAACATCTGAGCTAGTTTCTGCTGTCTGTCTGCTAACTCTCCTCTACCACTAAAATCAACTCTGAATAAGGCCATGATAGAATCTACAATCTAAAAAATTATTAGAAAAATCAATAAGAAGAAAAACAGAAACTTATAAATCTTTAATATCATGAGGTATTTAATTTATTTTCACTAGCTTGTTCAGTTGAGCTGACACAAATTATAAATGCAAATATGTTACAATTAAATTACAAATGATTAATCATTTTTGTTGATAAATTGTAATACAATTGGTGTGATATAGTAGAATTTAAAGTGATAGCATTTTTGTTACCAGCAATTTAAACACTCCTGGTTCTTCATGAAACTTTGCTGCAACATGTTCAAGCAGTTCATGCTGGTGTTCACCTTATAAAAAAGAAGTTAAAGAGTTAAGACAATTTTTTTTTACATTTTGAATATCAATTCAATCAACCACTATGCAGCACTGAATGTCAATCAAATATTGCTGAGCAGGTTCTCCTGTAAGTGGCAAACTGTAATACTGCCCTCACACAATGACTTGTTACATTCTTTTGTTTTTATGCTTGTGTACAATAAGAGTCTTCACTACCTATTTGAATAATATTTAAAGTTACATACTTGTATATGCCCTTGCATACAACACATTGTCCAGCATAGCCTCGTGATCAAGATTGAATCTATCAGCAATGTCTCTTAAACGAGCTGGGCGACTGCAAATTACAGTGAATTAAAGAAATATTTGCAATTTATTGTCAATGAAATAGGCCCTGTTCAGACATGTGAATTATAAACAAAGAAAGATGTCTATAATAATTAAATGTTGCAGGAGTATTCAGCATGATAGTGTGTTACCCACTAAGAGAAGAGAATTTTTTTTGAAAAAAATAGGTCAATGTATGTTCTAGAAATGGTTAAGGATATAAAAATATAAACAATATGACCACTAATTGGCTATTGTGAATAAAATCACAATGCAAACTGATGTGCACCAAAACCTATAATGTGTGATAATCAACCAGGTTCGAATAAAATTGGCCAATACA